ACCCCCTGGTACACACCAACCTTCACTCCATGCCAGCAACTGAGTTGTTGTCAGGCCCTGGGCTTGTTGTCAGCCTGGATGTCAGGTCCATAGTCCCTCTCAGTTAGCTTCAAACATGGATAGCCTGGGTTCCAGACTGTTGCCAGGGCTAGCATAGGGCTACATGTAGCTCCTTGGCTCCAGGGCTATATGATAATATACAAAACATAGACCTGCCTGGCTACCAGTTAACCAGCGTAGGGCTCTAACTCATAAAGGAAGCTATGGTACATGTATCTGTATCGGACATCGGACATTTTTTGTGTATTGCAGCGACCCCCACTGTAGGTTTGTTTTTATTTCCGTTACACTAGCAGCCCTTTCATAGTTGTTCGTGCAGAATCTTGCGGCTTGGTTCTGTACCTTTTCCAGTTTGTCTTTCTTTGTATATGGATCCCATACTGTCGGGGCATATTCTAGGTTTAGTCTTACAAGTGACATGTATGGTATACGGTAATTTCCTTGGGGGCAATGTTGGCTCTAGAGCCAAGGATCAGAGATGACCTGGAAACAGTCTGGCATCCAGGCTAGCTTGCTGTTTGCCTTCACTGTCTGCACTCTGACAAGAAGACATTTGTTTGGAACCAGTAAAGTTTGAAATGTAAGGACAGGACTTCTACATAAACAACATGAGGGGCTGAAAGATCAGATGGTTGTGCCAAAAATGATTAAGTGGGGGGGTTGGGCCACACCAATTTGTTGAAAAGCAAGCAGACATAATAAAACGGAGGAAAACTTGAACATGACTGTCTTCACTCCATAAAACCAAGTGCACCAAGTAGACATAAACCTGGTCCTCAGGCTTTCCTCGTTGTGCTTAGTTTCTTCTTCTTTGCCAAACAGTGACCTCTGATCTGGTCTGACCTGAACTAGACCATATGGCACCATGGTAACTGGTGTTGAGGTACATCATGTTGCAATTTTATAGTAGGAGGGATTTAGACTCCTGTCACTGTATATGTGAAAATGAGTAAGAATTGACAGAGCAGACCATATGCGAAGGTAAACATTATGCATTTGCTTTACAAATGTTACTTTTCTAGTTTTCATTACATTTTTTCCTGTTCAGGATATTTTGTTAAACGTCCGAACCAACAAATCAAATAGGAGTGGCCTTGGGAATAAGGAATACATGTAGGTTTCAGATTTGTCCTTGGGGTTTGTGTCCCATATCCTAGTATAAGAACCTCCTAGTAGGCACCAAGCTCTCTCTCTGTGCCAGCAACTTCAGTTGTTGTCACCATGGATGCTTGCTGATAACCTGGATGTCAGACTCAGACCCATATCATGGAGAAAGTGAAACAAATTCAATTGGTATGAGTCGGACTATGACCTTGGTAATAAGGAATAGGTTTCAGCATTGTCCTTGGCACTTGTGTGAGGGCCTGCATGGGGGGGTGTGGGGGGTTGTGATTATGAATTGCGCAAAATTTTCGCCGCCGATTAGGAATCACGTTCAAGTCTCATAGAGCTGATTACGACTTTATGCTTTGCTGCTAATGTACTAATTATGAATTATGTTGATTTTTGGGGAGGCTGCCTACGGATTATGAAGGCTACTAAAAGGCCTGATTACGCCTTAATTAAGAAGAAGGGCATGCAGGCCCCCTTGTAGCCTGGGTGCCAGCCCCTACCGCGAATGAGAGATAATCCTTTCAGTCAGGGAAGCCACACGTCCCGCAAACTCCGATTTGGCGCCCTGGCTCTAATTATCTCTTCGTGAAAGATAAAGGGTTTTGGGCAGCAGCCTGGGTTTGGGTGGCGGATACTGTAGCGGACATTGGGGCTTCTCCCCACAAAAAAATTTATCGCTTATGAACGCCAGCGTCTGGCACCCAGGCTAGCCCCCTTGTGTCCCAAATCCTAGTATCATTGGGTGTGGTCCAGTAGTTGGCCTTTTGATGACCCAGCCTGAGAGAAGATGGGTGACCTTTGACAGTTGAAGCCATCCTGATGTTACATGTATGTTTTGAGACAGTAACAAGGAGTCGGGTTTCACTTCCTGGACTCATTGATTGAGAGTTTGTCTACTCTAGCTCCAAGCAGAGGTTGGTGGGGAAGGTGTGTGACCTAAATTCTGATCATAATATGCCCCATTTTCTGCCAATATCCCAAGAAAATTTTACCATATAGATGCCTGTAAAAAGCCCTGAACAGTCCGGCATCCAGGCTAAGCAGCAATAGTACCAGGCAGTAAGCTTAGTTAGTACTTGGTGAACAGCAGAAGTTTCCCCAGATTGACCAGGTTCTGAGCAGTGCTAGTTAGAGTTGATTAAAAGCTCCTCAGGTCCAGGGCCAATGTATCCAAAGGGAATTTTATCATAGATACATGTACCTTGTCCTGTACACTCTATAAAGCCTTGACAACAGTCTGGCATCCAGGCTAAGCAGCAATAGTACCAGGCAGCAAGCTAAGGTAAACTATAGCAGACGTTATCCCAGATTGACGAGGTTCTGATCAGTGGTAATTAGAGTTGATTACTAGTTCCTCAGCTCCAGGGCCAGTATCCAAAGGAAATTTTTACCACAAATGCCTGTGTACCCTAAAAAACTCTGACAACAGTCTGGCATCCGGGCTAAGCAGCAATAGTACTAGCCTGGATGCCAGACCCAAAGCACACTGGACACAAAATATCTCAGTGTGCAAGGAGAGATATTTTGTGTCCACTGTCCAGTGTGCTTTGGGTCTGGCATCCAGGCTACAATAGTACCAGGCAGCAAGCTAAGGTGAACTGCAGAAGAAGTTTCCCCAGATTGATGAGGCCCTGAGCAGTCATAATTAGAGTTGATTACTACATGACTTTGTAGTTCCTCAGCTCCAGGGCCAATGTATCACACTGAAATTTTACCATAGATGCCTCTAAAACTGCCCTGACAACAGTCTGGCATCCAGGCTAAGCAGCAGCAAGCTAAGGTGAACTGCAGCAGAAGTTCCCCAGATTGATGAGGCTCTGAGCAGTGGTAATTAGAGTTGATTACTCTGCCCATATCTTATCAGGATTTACTCTCCTGGCTGAGCAGCAGAGGAAGTGAAGCTGACAGGCAGATGGCTCGCTTGTCTGGTCCTGTTCAGGATCAACTTGTCAAGCGGTAGCTCCTCTCATACTCTCCAAGCAGATGCTGACTAATAAACTGGTGGATGTACCAACCACTAAGTATCTGATACCAGCCCAGAAAAGAACAATAAATAGTCATGCCTTCAAATATCAGAGTTATCAACCAAGAATATTGAGGTGTTCAAAATGTGCAAATCATATTTCCTTAGAACTATCGTAGACTGAAACTCGTTGCCACCAAGCACTGTTGGGGAATCATCACTAGAAAGCTTTAAACAACAGTTACTCCTGCAATTAAATGTGCAAAGATTGAGTGTAACAAGTCGTTCGGTGTGATATAGCTAGCTGCCGCCGTGCCGCGTGCCTGCGAAGCTGGTGTGTTACGCCGAAGTATACTGATACAGATACAGAGGGTAGAGGGTCCAAAACACCACCTCTGGCTAATGGATACTGCCTGGCCATGCACTTTGATACTGTCTTTTGCCACCCTAGGATCTGCTTGAAGATTACTCCTATAATAGTAAGTTAAACCACAACTGAATCTCCAAATGAGACATGCTGATCCTCCTGCCAATTTCTTCAATCTTATCACCTGCCAACCCAGCAGGAGGTGGCAGAGATCCATGATCTGTCTGGTGGCAGGTCTCCTGCACTGTCTGCCTCAATATTTTTCTTATCAGGCTATAGCAGTGTTCTAGGAGCCCAAATTTTTTCCTCAATTTTGTCCCCTACACTGTCTGCCTGCTTACCATCCTAATCAGGCAATGGTAAAGGCTACACCTTTGGGACTTCCCAATCAATTGAACAAGAATGGAGGAAGGGTGCAGGACAGGTAGCTGTTAAGCTATTGGTAAATGTCAGTGTGCTGAAGGTACCATTGCCAAAAGTATTATTGTGAACTTGCATAGGACATTCTGTCACTTAACACTTCTTTATTCAATAAGAAAAGTCAAGTTGCTTGTTGCACAATTTGTGACAAGGGTAAGAAACTAGCTTCATGTTCAGTGTCATGTACAAAAACAACTGCAGTGACATGCATTCTTGCTAGGTGGCATTACTAAGCTTCACTACCTGCAAAGGTGTATGTACAATACTTCTACTGATTTTAGTGCTGCTTTGTTGCACAAGTTGTTTACTGGCATGGAAGTATTGTTTTGGGTGGCTGGGCTTTTTGATATACATGTATGCTGGTAGCATTGTAACTTGTAAGCATCCAAAAATGGTAGTCATATATGCATGTAAGTGTCTGAATAAAAATAAAGGTAAGGGTAGTTCAATAAAAAGCCTTTTTGAGGCTGTAGGTGGAGTGAGGAAAGTCGTGTATAGTGCCTTTCCCAAGGACACAACATCCAGCAATGAGGAATGCAGGGGATCAAACCCACAACCTCTTGATCTCGGTGGCCACTAGCCTTGCTACTCATCAGCCAATGGAGAAGGCTTCTAAGGATCTAAAAAAAAAAAGATGTCCAGGGCTGGAAATACTGGGTGCATGTGCACCTTAGTGCACCCAAATTTGGAGCTGTGCACCCAATTTTTTTTCTGTGGATGCACCAGTGCACCAAAATATTTTCTCATGTTTAAAGTAACGTATGTAAAGATGTCTGAATAGTAGTTACAGCATATTCTTAAGATCTAAGAAAAAATAATACAATTATTGTTGTAGTACTTTTCAGTAATGAAACTGTACATATTTATAGTTTTTGCTGACCTTCTACTTATTTTACCTTATATGGTGCACCTAAAATATTCTTTGTGCACCCAATGTTTTAGGTTGGGTACACCAGTGCACCTCTTCCCGAAAATAAATTTCTACCCCTGATGTCTATCTTTAAGACTGTGCATCTGTGTAAACAGAGAGGATATTTTTGTTCATCAGTTTTAACTATTTTGTGTCTTGTGTTGCAGAGACCTGAGATTTAACAAGATAAGGGAGATCCCTCCCGGGGCGTTTGAGGGCCTGCTGTCACTCAACACACTGTGAGTTGGGGATTCCACTTATTCTAGTATGTAAGCCTTAAAGGACAACTCTCATACTTTCACCACCAGGTACCTTAAAACCCTTGTCCTGCGGGTTGCAGTATACAGTACCATCTATATATAGTGCCCTGTGTATGTACGATTTGGGGGGTGTTTCTCGTGCAACACATCACACCGCATCAAAACGCAACGAATGCGGAAGTAACTACACCACCGCAGGGCTAAAAAAGTCAGGGGTCTGTGACCTGATTACGACTTCAAATTATTTGAAAATATTGTGTAAAAAAGTCCATCAGGACAAGGGTTAAGAGGGCCTCAAGAGGCAGTCTTAGAGTACATCATGAGAGCTGACATTAAAGTCTAACTTGATCTATATGTGACAAGATTGTTGTGTATATTTCGGCCTGTAAACACTTTATAACATTCAACTGACAAGTCTGTATTTTGATGTCTTTTAAATCATGAAAGGGTATAAATCGATGGCTTATAATGTTTTGTTGGGTATTGTAAGCTGAAACAAGTTTTGTAAGTGTTGAGAGGGGATGAGACATGTATGTATAATTTGATATGTGACAACAAGTGTTTTGTTTATGTGTTATGCCTTTCTTGCAGGCTGCTCAACAATAATGACATCAGAAAAATTCCAAGAGGTGCTTTTCAGGGACTCTCCTCTTTAAAATACTTGTAAGTAACACTTGCATGCCCTAACATAAAGAGTATGCAGCAGACATTTGAACTGTCTTGGCATTGTTGATTAGTAGATCTCTGTGATAATTGCAATGCATCTCCTTAAGCTGCCATCTTCAATAGTGATGAGAGATCTGTTGAGACAAATGGTTTCATTGCGCCACGTGCAGTACCAAACTATGGCAACAGGAGGAGCTGTTGATATGCCTGTTGATATGATATTTTAACTTGTTGGTCCTGCAGTTCCAATAAGTTGAAATAGAGGGCGCCCATGTATGCAGACAGCACTTGGGGATTTGATTTCATTTTATTTGATGATCTGGCATGGAGCTTGGTTTATTCGTTTGGCTGTATGAAGTTAGATATCGTTCGTAAATATTGTGTGAATAGTGCTGCATACCTAAACCCAATTTTAGGTTCAGGTCTGGATTCAAGTCCAGAGGTTTAGGTTCAGTTCTGGACTTGTAAGTCCGTACCTAAACCCATGGCATATACAAAATTGCATGTTGGGAACCTTGCAATGTTGTCTGGGTGAAACTTTGGCCACATAACATGGAGGCCGGTACTTGACGATGCCCGATGGCAATGTTTTCTTCATTTTGCAGCAAAGATTTTGCAATCTACGGAAGGTTTTAGGTGGTTTGGAAAGAAAAGGGGCATGTAAAATGGTCTTTTATGATAATAAGTCCGGACTCAGTTCTTGACTTTTAGGTTTCTTTGGACTTGAACCTAAACATTCTTACAAGTCCGGATCCAAGTCCAGTGAACCGATACGCATCACTATGTGTAACTATTTTTTTTCTTTCTGTAGGTATCTCTACAAAAACAAAATCAGACACATAGACAGACAAGCCTTCGTAGGACTCTCATCACTAGAGCAACTGTAAGTTTAACAACTTTAAAATAAACGTATTTAGTGAGATGTACATGTGTTTTATTTATTTTATTTTATTTATGTACATGTAAGAGTCTAAATGTAAATGGACAACTTGGTACCATAAAAAATGGGCTTCTGTAGATTTCTGCAGAAGATGTATTGTAATAGTATCTAAATGATCACCTTTCATCTTTAGAAGATAATAATATTATCTTGGACAGAAAATCTAAACAGACAGAAAATCTAAACAGAAAGCATTGTTCCAATAGATGGTTGTGCAACGTTAACCTAAGAAGAGAGTAATAAGAGGCAAGTTTTAAGGTTGAATTCCTGGAACTCCTTTTCTTCAGTCAATTTGAGCTGTCACAAGAGAAAAATGGTACAGATTTGTCGTACTTTTTAGTACTTTTGATACTTTTTTTTGTATTCTTGATAATAATCATTATACTTTTTTGTATTTTTTTCGTTTCCAGATACATCCATTTCAATGAAATTGAGCAGCTCCTGCCCAACACCTTCAGCAACCTGCCGTCTCTCGAAAGACTGTAAGTACTGACAACACTCTAGGATATATGTAGCTTTTTGTACAGTGTGCTTACTTTTATTGTAGGTTGTCATACAATTTTGATGCTGTAGAATTTTCAAGCGAAGTTGCAAGGGTACTTTATTTATTTATTCTTTAATTCAGGCCCCTTGGCCCATATTACAATCAGGAACAGACAGACAGAAGATGGAGGCATGATAACAAACACAAGGATAATCAAGCTAGACCTAAAAAATAAAACTACTTAACAACTAAGCGCCGCGTGCCTGCGAAGCTGGTGTGTTACGCCGAAAGGCGGTTATACCGGCTATACAGATACAGAAGCTGGTGTGTTACGCCGAAAGGCGGTTATACCGGCTATACAGATACAGATACCTCCAGAAGGTGCTAAGATTGTAGCCATCTGAATGAATGATAGTGTTACATCCCACAAACAATGCCCTCTCAGTTTGCCATCATATGATGATCACACATCTTATGTGACTACATGTATACCACAAAGTTACTGTCATGCATTGAGGCAGTAATGTTTTTAATCTCTCTTTTTTTGTATTTCAGATTTCTCCACAACAACAAGCTTGCAAGAATACCAGCCGGGACGTTTTCCAACCTCCACTCACTAAAAAGATTGTAAGTGGCAAAATGTTGTGAATGAGGCAGTTATATGTAAGTTATACAAAATGCATAGTCGTGTAGCTACTGATTTTGTGAACATATTTTTGCAGTTCCTAGTGTGAAGGTAAAAAATACTTCTTTTATTAGCATGAAAGTTCATCTGAGTTGGTAATTTACATAGTGAAAAGTAAACAGTTACTGTTCTCCAACTCACTCACCAGTCTTCATTTTGGTGAGTAAAACTTTCTTGAGTTGGAGAACAGTTTTATTTTTCACTACAGAGAACACTCTCTTACCTCTACAGTCCCCTTGTAGGAGACTGGACTCTATTTCCCTGGTGTGTGCAAGGAGCTTTTAATTCATCATTTGATGTTTAATATCCTTGATGTGTAACTGTCAGCTGGATGCAAACTGCTTTGGCATAAGTCATCTTCTTGAAACTTCTTGTATCTTGAATTTCACTGTGGTTTTGTCATAAAAGCATCAGAAGTTGTATCTTCAACTATCCCCCTTGTGTAGGAGACTGGACTCTAATGATCTGGTGTGTGACTGCCATTTGATTTGGCTTGCTGAAATGTTGAAGAAATACAATGTACAATGCAGTGTAGGCAGCAAATCATCAGATAATAGAAAATGTATCTTTTCTGAATTCTTGGTAATCTCTCTTTTGTACTTTTATGTCTCCTTTTTATAGGAGACTGGATTCCAATGACTTGGTGTGTGACTGCCAGCTGATGTGGCTAGCTGAGCTGTTAAAGAAGTACAGCTTTTTGGGCAGCAAATCATCTTCTGGAAAATGAATCTTTTCTGTACACTCCACTCACTTGGCCATTGCACCTACATTTTTTCTTCTATTATATAGGAGACTGGACTACAAAGACTTGCTACACTACCAGGACCGTAAAATTTAACGAACTTTTCGGTAGCGTGTACACGTACACGGCGAATGCACGATCGTGTGTTCGGCGTGTTTACGTTTGGGGTGGGCGGGATTTTGGGGGCCAGTAGGGCGGGGAATATTCAGAATATTCATGTTTCAGGCACCGTGTACACGGAATATTCATGAGAATATTCATGAAACAGCCCGATTTACGGCAAAAAAACAACAACGCATCGCCGCGCCAAGGCAACTGCGCCGCATGCACAGTGTTTTATTTTGGCAGAGATGACGTAAATACCGCGTAGAATCCTTTCACATGAACCTAACAACAAAATACAAGTACCATCCAAAACAACTAACACAGTCTACATGATTATTTTGAGCAGGAAGTACGATTCTGCTTCCTTTCATCGACCATATCTTTGAGCGACCGCTGGTTTGCGAAGTCCCTCCCACCGGGCGCACGTTCTCATGAACGTCTCCCGCGCCTTTGACAAATTATGTTTGATATATTAGTAATACACATTTACTGTACCACGCCTGCGGAGGGAAGAAAAAGCAGAAGCCGCTTTGGTAGTTGTATTTGTCATGGTCTGACACTGATAATACTTGTATGTGTCTTACCACGTTTACAATTTATGCCATTCACATTTTCAAAGTCTCAATATATAAAAAATGCGTATCAGCCCCCCAAACATAAATTAATCATTCAAAGAAGCAATGAGTCCTTCGCCCACACGGCGTGCACGCGCCGTGCTCACTGCGTATTTACGGTGAGATACTGAACACAAAGAGTACGTGCAGTAAATGAGTTTATAGGGCGTGGTTTCGCTTTTATAGCAATAATTAGCTATTAGCATTTGTATTATAAAATTACAATGATACTTGTTTTATCTTATTTTCATGTATCTGTTGACAATTTGTGGATAATATATGGGGTTATTGGCACAGCGGCTACACGCTGTCTTGGCCGTGGAGCCGAGATTATAGTTTATTCAGATTCGAGCGAAACAACTCTGGACTAGTTCAAGGAGTTGGAAGAAATGATAGTTGGTGTTTGATTGCTGCAAGGTTGAGAATTAAACAAAAGCCGGCAGAAAAACTGGCAGACATTTTGTCAGAAAAATGTACGCCAAAAGGAAAGGTCAATGACCGTGCCTAGCGAGTCGAAGTCGGCGGCGTTAAGAATTTTCTGCAACTGCTATACTAAAGCTATGATTTGATCATGAGCGCTGTGACAAAATTTAAAAAAAATAGCGGGGTTTGATTTCGACACTGTTTGTTCCTGAATAAAACAGAGCTTGTAGAGCATTACGTGATACGCCTGTGATTTTTACGTCCATGCTTTGGTCAAGTCTCTTCAGTTTAGGCAAGGACTTGGTTTACACTATATTCCCACGACTGCACGTAATTGATTGACAGGCGGTTCCCTTTGAAAAAGATGCCGTCGGCGCCCCAGAGTCTGTTCGGTCTACGGGCCGAATAATTCAATTATCTGAGCAGCCAATGAGCACTGAGAAAAATGTTTCGTCCATCTTCGCTGTAAAGTCGATCTTCACCGACTATAATCGAGGTTCTACGAAGAATCCCGAAATTTGTCGAGTGTGTACTGCGGTGTTTTCATGCGCTTGTTGCAGACGACAGGATCGCAAGACAGATGATTTGTGACATTTCAGAACCGAGAAAATCTACAAGACACTGATACTGATATTTCTGCATGAAATTAACGAATATTTAATGTACTATGGAAAACGTCAGTCCTTCATTCCGTGAGGCTGAAACAGCAATGTCAGATTATGAACCAATTATTTCCTGTCGTGGATATTCGCCGTGGATATTCGACACATTCTGGACTATGTACTGTGTGTGCCGCGAGTAAAACTTTCAAGCGAGTACACAATAGTTCTAGAATTGCAGTGCAGCACCATTCTAGAAGTTTTACAGGGTGAACAGATTTCACTCGATAATACTAGATTGACACTTCATGCGGCCGGCCCGCAACATGAGAAAAATGTGAGATACCGTAATTAAAAAAAAAAGTAGAGCTGCCGAAAAATGTTACTTACCTGTGAAAATAAGCCAGCTCCCATTGAAACGCACTGAAATCACCTCTTTTCACATTTTGGGGGACACTACTTACCTGTAAATTATTGCGTAAGATCCGTCGGGTGTGTAAACAACATTCATTTTCATTCAACAAAAAATAAGCTGTAGCTGTGATCTGTATAATACTTGAAATAGCGCCCTAGTACTTTCCTTGTTGATACAATCATTCAATCCGAGAACAGGACGTATTAGTTTGTAACATTTTGTAATGTTTCTGAAACACGAAAAAATGCTGACTAGTTTACTAGTAATTTATTTTCGATACTTATACATGACTTTCCTTTCAATAGTACTAGCAAGGAGGTTCAAGTTTTTGTATGAAACGCCTACCAAAAAGGTAGTTATTAGAAGTCATGGTAGTATTACAGACTAACTAATGTTGGGCAACCAAACACATACATAAACGTTGCTTAAACAATTCGTCCTTGTTTCTTGCAACCCCCTATGTTTTACCAAGGAGATTTTCGGATGTTGTCGTCATTTTTGTTCGTGATAACAAAGTAACAAAGAAATAAACTGGGTAACGTGACCCGGCGGATTCAAGTTATACAACTTGCGTATCTGTCACGGGCCGCCACAGAACGCCGAGAAAAAGCTTTCGAACCGTCGTTTCTGACCAGATTTCTTTTCACAAAATAGAAGAAAGGGGATGTGCATTTGCATCAGGGTGACAAGGATAATTATTTTTTGTTTGACAATACGCCCGCGTGTTTGACAGTGCATAAGAATAGTGAATAAATTACGGGTTTTCTAAGAGTGGTGCACTTAGTGGTAACAACAACAGACATCTGTGTTTAGAATTTGGTCGATTTCGTATATTCTCTAACTAGTTAAGACGAAGATATTTTTTGCCGAAGGTGAAGAAAAATCTTCTATTCTCCTCAAGCGAAGATTGGAAGACAGACTTCGATTCTCAAATACTTTAGTACTGTACATGGTCGATATTACAATACACATTTCTGTATGGCACTGTCTGTCCCTAGCTTAGCTCTGCATGAAAAATATAACAAAAACCTGTTACAGATATGCATCAAATGTGGAGTCCAAACCGGATTTTTTTACCACGGAGGTTACAAAAATTTCCACGTGTTTTCCTTGTTTTCACAATTACTTAGTAAAATAAGATAGCAGTGAAGAAAGATATTTTCCTATAAAAATACCTGCGTGAGAACAAAATGCATGTTCTTTAGAGTATCATTTCTTAGTTACTTGTGTCCAAAAGGCTTCTCAACACTATGTTACTGGGAACAATAAGGTACAACCTTAGAGTTAGGACCATGGAGGTAGAAGAGATCTACCTCCATGTTAGGACAAACCAAGGACATAATGTGACAATGTCCTTGGACAAACTATGATCGCTCCAAAAACTATATTGATAAAAACTCTCGGAAGAGTCGGAACGAGTCGGCATGCGCATGCAGTATTCTCCCTCGTGCAGTTTTAGTCTCTAAGCACCTGTATGTATAAAAGAAAACATACAAAAAGTTAATAACCTGTCAGAAATATATCTTATATAAAAATGGGGGGCTGTGACCCCGAGACTTTTCCAACAAAATCTGTTATATTCAGTGAGAGCTGTCGACGATACAAAAGAAAACATGACGCGCAACGGACTGGTTTTGAAACGACCGTTGCGTCTCCGACTATCAGACACACCATATTCATTCTTGCTATAAATTAGTACTAGTATAATCTGCACCAGGAGGTTTAAACCTTGATCTGAATGATTAAAAAATATCCGCAGCTTTTCGTAGGTTACACCAAGGACATTATTGGTTACACATACTGACAGAAAGTAGACGTGTTCAAAATCCATTTAAACTGCAGTAGAAAATGAATCAAAGCTCCTTGTGTTTAAATCTTTAAATTATAACCTGCTTTTTTATGTTTGTTTTTGTTACCAAATCGTATTCCGTATCTAATAGCGGCCGCCGTAGAATAAAATAGAAGCCCTGAAACATTTTATCGGCAGCGTAATTTCCTGTATACCGACAACCTCCTTGGCACGCGTGTAGCGAAAGTTGTACCGACTTCTTTGATCTGAAACTCAAGCCGCCCCTTTCGGCGGTTGCGTCGGAGTAAATCAATCAATTTTGACAGGGCTGGCCATGGGGCGCCGTGATGTCTTGGGAGAAATGTTCTACTACGACATGTACGAGATGTGTGTGAATTTTGACTTTCAATGTCAGGATTACTACTCCATTCCTACAAGAACTCATTTTTGAAAACCACTGTTTTATCTAAAGCGATTTGGCGGATGCAATAACTCATGAGGTGTTTATTCAATACTTGATTGATATAATATGGAAAAAAATACCCGTGGTCTTTCCTCCCCGTAAGCACATATTCAGCCCCGTGCCGAACAAAACACTGGCTTTTCGTTTTTGTGTTGTTTATTCGTCAGTAAGATCGCGCCGCCTCGTGGCCGGCCGGCCGCATCGGTTTCTGCTGGCCGTGTAAACGTCATGTGTCGACCAGTTTACTAGTATATCATTCTCGCCGGGCTTTGGAAAAATTTTTGACCCGGGGGGAAGGACCTAGGAAATCTTTTAACCACTAATCCTCACCGCTAAATATCGTACAAATTGTACACCGCTGTAATTGTAGAGCATTACGCAATCCATTTCGGCAGCGCCGGCGGGGAGCACATGGCGACGCAGAAGAAATCGGCAAATTATTACGCTGTGTTCGCGGGATAAATGCCGGCACACGAACTTTAATTATTATCTTCAAAGAATTACGACAGTTCCTATACGAAAATGGCTAGCCCAAAATGTAAACGAAAGGCAACTTTCGCCCGCAGCTGACTAATTTTGACCGGTAGATATAGGATTCTATTCGTGCGCCGTAATGGGCACACAATACTAGTATTACGACATTGCGCGCTGACGTGACCGGTATACAACTGTCGTAAAATCAAACGTAATTATTTCTCTACCGTGCAGACCAGCGGCCCATTATCGGTATCCCAGTGATAATGAGCTGACTCCCCGCTGATCTGGACTCCGCCCCAAATGTGCACACGCCGTGCGTACGAACGTGTACACGCCGTGCGTTTGTTTGTGTAACAGCGTAAATCGTTAAATTTTACGGTCCTGGTAGTGTATATATGAAGGTGTCAAATTCAGCATGTAATGCATCACTTCAAACCAGAGCCAAAACCGGCTTGTAGCGGTCTGACAGCACAGTTCAGGACGGGGCACACGTTTCTTCATACGTGTTGAGATTTCGGACGACCAACACATACATTTCTGTCAGAAAATAATAGGACTTGGTTTTTCTTACCTGTGGAGGTAGTATAACAGCCCAATCTGCGACTAGACAGCCACAATGTTGGTCAAAACTTCACCGAACGTTCGATCGGCCGGTCAACCCGCCATACTTATTTTCGTCTTCTGCTGTCACGCAGTCTCGTACCCAGAATCATGTGTGTAGTGGTTTGCGTAGCTACCGAGCAAAATGCTCTGGGAACGAGAGTGAACTCAAATCACAGGGTCAAATATTTTGTTCAAAACGTTTTCATTATAAATTTTACTATGAGAAATCTTTGGCTCAGTATTACCAGTACACAATATCAAATTGTTGTAATGCCAGGAACTAACTTGTTCGAATCAATCTGGCAAAATTAAACTGGAGGTGGAACATTCTATTGTAATCACATCGCTAGGTAAACTAAGAGTATTTGTTATGTATTTGACATCAACTTAAACAACACTGAATAAAGTATGGAATATATAATAAATTAAAATATATATCTATTTATCTAGCATCATACTAATTGATGATTTTAAGATAGAATATGAACTTAACAACTATGCAGTACTAACACTATGTCCCCCCAATTTTTTTAGTAATGGACTCGTCTACTTCCTAGCAACAGTCGCCATCTTGTGTTCCGAAAACAATATGGCGCTGGAGAAGTAGTATGAACTTTTTAGGGATGAAAACTTGAATTTTGCTGCATTTCTGAAGGTAAGCCTCAGCATTATGGTACATTTACTCGTTTTACAAAGTGTAATGTACAAAAAGACGAGGTTTACATGAGATCAGAGTCAATGCTTAAGAGGAAATACAGCTATTACTATTTTAATCATGTTGCTACAAATTCAACAGTTGCTGAGAAGACTTGTATAATTTTTGTTTTGACATTTGGTTTCAAATAGAACTAACCTCGAGAAGGTCCCTCCGCTTCATACAGTCTTCAACAGTCTCTTGCCATCAAGCTGAAACTGTTAACTTTGTAAGACCATGTGTTGTATGTGCTTTGTGTGGATATTGTTAGCATATGTATTAACCATAAATTTTGATAGTGATGACTTCTTGATTTCAAAATTTCAAAATCTGTATCGAACAGGCGATGTATCGAAACGACCTGATACCTTCAAAATCAATAGATACTGTAAAAAATAAGGTAAATGGTGAGCTAGATGTAGTATGCCACTTTCTTAATAGAATCATACATATTTTTGTTGTGTTGTTTACATATGCAACAGTGCTCCCCCACCCTATGATTGTAACCGTATACTAGTAATTGTGTGTTTTATGCATGTGTGTGTATGTGTGTAAATGATATATAGCCTAGAAAGCGAATATGGAACATTATGATTTTGACCAGATCATTCACTGTATTTTTGTTTTGTTTTGTTGTTTTGTCGTCTGCAGACTTGTTGAAGAGAGAAGATAAAGATGCCAGTGATTGTGCAGCCCCCACATATGTTGAACCATGCCAACAGGAATGTTACTGTCATGGAGGTACTGTTTTAAAGAGCTACTTCTTAAATTCACTACCTTTATAAAACACAGGGTTATATCTTATATTCATGTTAAAACTCATTACACACGAGAAAAGGTAGGTATAGAATTAAAACATAAGGTTTCAAGTCAAAAAAAGAAAGTAAGTAAGTAGTATATATGGAGAAAACCTATATAATATCTTATAAAACAATTAGATTTTTCCCATAAATTACTTATTCAGTATCCAATCTTTTTCATTTTTCATTTCTAGAGAGGGAAAGAGATTTCAATCTTCCACTACTAAATACTGTAGTACTATGTCATGTATGTATTGCAAGGATTACCTCTCATTAACCTATTGGCTTAATTTATATCATCATTTCTGATTAAAACTAAATTATCTTTTTTTTTTATGTGCAAAATTTTCAGCCCTCTTCACCTCACAACAAGAAACCCCTTAAGAAGAAAAGGCTCCTAAAAGTCAGTAAGGCAGACAAAACCGTGCAGTCCACTTACTATGGGATTGAGGTGACAGGGAACATGACCTGGCAGGGCTGGGAGCCAGGCAAGGAGTACACAAAACAACTGGTCCTCAGGAACTGTAAGGTCAAGATGGAGAAAATCAAGTACAGGTCAGTGTTGCCAACAGATTTGTTTGTTTTGCATAACCAAAACTGCCTTAAGGCATAACACAACATTTTTGTACAATAGGTACAAGCTGCTTAAGACTAGACTTTAAGGTTTGATCCACTCACACTTGGATGTAACCCACATCCCTACTCTTTTCAAAAATCTTGAAGGGTTTATCGTGGTTCTTTATATTGTGCTAGAGGTGTGGCTGTCCTCAAATACGGGAACTGCAGCTTTTTGTCCCATCCAAGAGGATGTGTCTAACACTAACAGAAGCTCATTTTTACCTGAGTCGAGTAAAGAAATAGGTGTAAAATGCTTTTTCAAGGTATGAAATTCACTGACATGTAAAACTATGTATTCTTCCTCTGCAGCCTTCCCAGCACCACGTTCTTCCACACGTTGTTCCCTAAGCCTCTCCAGCTGAGCCCAGGCACCAGCTTCTGTCTCCCCGTCACCTTCAGACCGCTGGAGAAGGCTGTTTATGAAGATGCCATAGAATTCTCCACATCTGTAAGTAACACTATTTGCTGCGAGAAAATTTAAACTGCTCTCCAACTTGAAAGAATTACTTGCTGAAATTTTTGTCAATATGAAAAGAAGTAATGGTCTTGTCAAGGAGCAAGTTTTAACTACTTTTTTTTCTTTTTTGTTTCCTATTTTAGGAGGGAAAGTTCACCATTCCTCTGAAAGGAATTCTACCCCAAGAAAGCCTGTCTATGCCAGAGGCAGTCAACCTTGGTACCTGTGCTGCCTATGATGCTGTCAATGCCACATTTGAGCTGAAAAATTTAAGGTAAATGTTCAGTTGTGTAGCTGATGTTGTTGATATGCCTTATTTTTGTTATCACTTGTTTGTAATATGCAAGTCATCAATAGGTAATCTGAAATTTTATTTCATTTCTGAGAAATGAACTTGTTGCTGTTACCTATGCATAACTTTAATATTTAAGCTCTTAATACTAATCAGAAGAGTCTTTTTGAGAACTGATTTTCAACTGGTCAACATTGTTTCAGCATTTATTAAGTTTTCTATTGAATGCTCATGATGTGTTTTTTTTTGTGACTACAGTGAACTTGAAACACCCTTCAAGTGGAAAGTTGCATCAGCTTTTACCATGGAGCCAGCATCTGGCACCCTCCCTCCACATGGATCATGTACCATCAGGGTCACATTCAAACCTATGGTAAGACTTTGCAAGGTCATGTTGAGTTTATTTGTACATTCTTTCTGAAAGGCAAGTGGCATGAAAATGACAATGAAAAACAATACAACATGTATCTACTGTAGTGTAAATACTGCCTTTGAATTCTAACTTGTTTGTTATTTTCAGGGTGCGATGGTCTATGATGCAGTAGCAGTGTGCAACTATGGTCCAGAGAATGTCTACTTTGGTACAGTGAAGCTAGAAGGCATTGGTAAGGTTACTGAAACTATTTTTACTTGCATTGTTATCATTCACATAAATCAGATGCTTCCAAAAAACATGGGAGAAGAAGCAAGAATAAGTCAAGTTAATTAATGTAGTTTGTTTTGATGGGCAGAAAAACACTGTAAACTATCACTGCCATGTCACTTTATTCATTGTTTTATGTGTTTTTACAGGCAAATTTCCACATATTGTGGTGAGGACCGAAGGGAAAGATACGCAGACATTTGGCGCTACCGCGGAAACTCTTGTGGACTTTGGCACCGTTCCTGTCGGCAAGTCTGTGGAGAAATGGGTGGAACTTCAAAACCTCTCACCTGTTAGTATGATGCTTTTGTTATATATCTGCTTTTTTTCTTTCTTTCATCTTCTATGTACACACATTGCATCTCAAAAGCAACTAGTACCATGCATAGTCCAGTTGAAAGTAGCCCAACTGTTCATTGAATTCATGAAGCATAACTGGTTTAAAACTACTTAAAAATTTATTTCTTTCACGAACAACTGTTTCTCACAAAATCTTTCCATTTTTTGCTTCAGGTGAAAGCAGCTTTCAAGGTTAACCATCCCGAGGCCACCTCCCGTATTGATACCGTGTTCTCTGTCGGTGTGAAAGAAGGGACTGCACCGCCAAACAGTTCCTGTAAAATCCCTCTCATCTTCAGGCCTGAGCTGGTGGGAGAGACGTCCATGGACTATCTGAATGTGGTGGCCATCGGGAACATCAGCAAAGCTGTTATCAAATGTGTGGGCAAGGCGAGGGGTAAGTTGGAATCATGCCTGGCTTCATTATACAGTGAATATACTGTGGAAACTGAGAAGGATGACAAGTTTTGTAATACTTCAGATTAGACAGTTGATCTTTCTCTGTTGTATTCTGATTTTAGCTGCCAATCTTATGCCATGTACTTAATGTGGCACGATTTTTGTTGCTTTAGATAAATGTGTTCTATACATTTTACAATTTTTTTAGAAGGCTAAAATGACTATGATTTTTACATGCATGTCAGTGAAAGAAAAAAAAGGTATGGTACACAGCCTGTGTTACAGTAAAAGGCTCACTTTTTGTCAGATTTTGATTTTGATACAAGGTTTTATTTTCCTTTTTCAGGACCAAGTGTGTCCATTGGGTCCCAGGCCCTAGCCTTTGGTTGTGTGGACTCAGGCGGTACGGTCACACAGACCTTCAACATCGTGAATGAGACAGATCTGCCAGCCTCCTACCAGTTCATGATAGACAGCAGGGAGAGTGTGTTCAAGTTCGAGCATGTGTCGGGAGTTCTGCCTCCACAAGGCCTGCACAAAGTAGTGGTCCACTTCTGTCCAGTCCACCCCATCAACTACTACAGAAGAGTTGCTTGTCTTGTGCACAATCATGTGAGTGATAAACAGGAGTATTTACAGAAAGACTCTTTGTCACAAAGACAAATCATACCTTTGCTGGAGTAGGGAAAGAATATCTTGAAGGTCATAGTGTTAAAGACTTCATGCCATATTTCTTATTAAAAATTCTATTTACATGTACAAATTTATCTGTTCATTCATTACTGTTGTACTAATGACACATTTTACTAACTTTCTGTGAAAAAGATTTCCTCTTATAAACAGTACATGCATAAATCAAAAAGATGTACTCTTACATACAGTTAAATTTTGTCCTGATGATCCCTGGGCAAAACAGTAGGATATCAACATAGAACCTCCTGTACTGTTCACATACTAAACTCATACTATAATATTGATATAACAGCATCTAACTGTTATTCCAGGATCCCCTGTATGTGGACATGATTGGCACCTGTCACACTGAGCTGGTCAAGCCAGCTGTGCTGCACCTGCACCACCTGGAGCGGTACCAGAAGCACGTGGAGCGAGGCTTCTCCCTCTTCCCGCCAGAACTGCTCAACAACCTGGTCAAGGAAAACAAGCTGCAGCTGGACCAGACCGGCGCACTAATGTTGAAGGAGGTGAGGATTTTACAGCCATTTGTAGTGTTGTTCCATACCAATTTAAAGTTCTTTGTTCTCCGATTCTCTGCTTTCTTTCTGATTTGAAAAAAAAACAGTTCTGAATCATCCCCACAATGCTCATACTTACATGATTGTACGTCTCCCCTTGTACATTTCATGCCTACTCAAGGACTTTATGTTAGAATTCGATGAAACTGGTGAAATTGTGCTGAAAGAGGTAAAATTTCTGCAGATCTCATCATTTCGAATTTGATAATTCCTCAGGCCTTTGTGCCTGGCTTTGCAATATTGTTGTAATTTGTTTACAATCCATATTTCCTCTTAGTAACATTAGAAACAATCTACATGTATATTATATCAACTCACATCTGACTTTTTTTGAATCCCGCATTTTATATGTCATATACTGACACTTTGTACGTCCTACATGATATTGCTGTATGCCGCTACACTCATGCTTGCTTATGTGTTAGGTTTTATGATTGACTTTGTATGTTTCAACAACATAAAGGAAATTTTCATTTGTCACAAAAGGCTGAAGCTGTGGAGCCCTTCACCCACCCACCCTTCCATCCCTCTCCGATGACGGAATTCTTCGACGACGGCCACTACAGCGACGTCACGTACTCCGTCCGCCATGTCAGTTCTGACCTCCACCAGGCCGACTTCGGACGCTGCACCAACTTCAAGAAGATCCCCTCTCAGGTGGTCCACCTGACCAATCACACGAAGGGAAAGATCACGGTGTACTGGATGTGTCGCGACAGCAACATCTTCTCCGTCACCCCGCAGACGTGCGACATTCCGTCGGAGGGGGCAACGTCGTTCCGTGTGACCTTCAAACCGGATGCAGAAGACCAGTTTTTCGGGGCAGAACTGGAATGTTTCGCCTTCTACAAAAGCATGCGAGACTTCAAACTGGTGGAGGACAAGTCCTTCTGCCCGCCGTGGTGCCTCACGCTGACCTGCATCGGCCACACGTTCAAGCTCGGAAAGGAAACATTCCTTCCACGCTTCACCCTGGATTCCAAACGTGTCGTCTTTCCTGCCGTGAACCCGAACGAGAGCACCTACCGGACCGCTCTTCTCACCAACCACAGCGACACTCCCATACAGTATGTCTTCAGCCAAGACGAGACAAAGACGTTCACGATCAAGCCATCCAAGGGGCTCATCCCGCCCAAGTCTCACCAGCTGTATGCCTTCAGGATGCTGCCAGCTGTAGCAGACACCTACAGGTACCAGCTGCCCTGTAGGATGAACGACAATGACAAACACATGCATGAGGTGACCTTGGTGGGGTCGGCAGAGTCAGCTGAGGTGTATCTACCTTCACAGGTAAGTCTACTGTCCAGAAAACATAAGAATCCATTTAAGAAGAGGAAAATTGTTCAGTTTATATCACAAATATTGCAAGATCTAATGAGTGACACCTCAGATAATATATTTGTTATATATTTTATATCTTTTATCTAATTTTGTCTTTTATATAATTTTGTCTGTCAGGGAGAGCTCTTCTTTAAGAGTACAAGCATCGGCACAACCACTGTCCAGAAGTACTGTCTCCAGAATACCTCAAGACTGCCCGTCCAGTTCGAGTGGCGTCTCAACAGTGATGACAGGAAGAGCCTTGCCGTCGAGCCGACTGCGGGAACTATTCTACCCAATCAGGAGCAGGAACACACGTGGATGTTTTCTCCTTCAGAGGAGACCAAATACGTCCTGAAGCCAACCCTCATCACCATGACAACCAGTCCTACAGGTGCCATCGGAGAGAAGACGAAATATATGCTGAGAGTCATTGGGGAGGGCAGTGCTGGAAACATACAGGTAAGAGTATTAATGTTCAAAACATTTGCACAACTTTATTTATCAGGCATATTTATAAGTTGCTTGCATCACTCCACAATACAGACCACTTTTAGACTAGTATCAGAGTAAACATCTTGGAGTTGGCTCTAAAGAAGGACTTATTACAGTATTAAGATCTAGATTTCAGTCAAGTATTTCTTCATTTATGCATGCATTCAATCATTCATTCATTCATTTGTTTACTCATTTATTCTTTTTTCTTTCTATTTCCAAATGACAGGCTGAACAGAGAGAGATTGACCTCCAGACTGTCCTTGTTGGAAGTTCTGTCTCCAAGGAGATTGTTCTGTACAATGACAACAGCTGCACGCTGCACTACAAACTCATCGTGTTCCAGACCATCACTGGTACCGCTAACGATGAAGCAGCCAATAGGGACAGGATAGGTCAGACATTAACTTATCCCATAATTACCTGCTGTCATAATTCTACCAGGCTACCAGAAATGGTCTTTTCGTCTGATCAAACAAAGTTGAAGTATCATCATGACTGTATGGATGAGTTTTGTTGATTTTTCTTTCACAGTTCTGGAGTTGGAGAAGGATCGAGGCATGCTTCCAGCCCGGGCCAAGAACAGGATCCTCCTGACCATCCGGCCAACCAGACGTGCCACGTACACCTTCAACATCATGTACCAGCTACTGACTCCTGATGGTGGGTGTGGGGAGGGGGGCAGTGTTGTAGGGAGGGGGCAATGGTGTGGATAGGATTTTATGACTTAGAGTTAGATGAGACTGACAGTGTATGATATAGCAGTGGGGTCTGTTAGAAATGATTAACACATGGCAAAGGAATTAACTGTAAACCTATCTCCAGCTAAAGCAGAATGTAGCAACAATTAGTGATGGTATCAATTTTTTTCTGAATTCTCCCCCCAGGTCGCAGTGTGAACCCAGTGTTCCCAGACCCATCAGACCTGTGTGAGGTGGTTGTGCAGGGCGTGTACCCTACTCTGGTTGCCACGGACGCCCGTTGCTATGGCAGCGGCATCGGCATTAGCAAGCGGCAGCTGTGGTCTCTGTTCTCCCTGGACAACATGAACCTGTGCCTGGACTCTGACCCGGCCGATGATGAGCTCACCTATGTTCACCCCACCAGACACAGGTATGGTCATCAAGTCTTATAATCTTTTAATCACTGTTTTAATCACAATGTGTTACAATCAATGTGTATGCAATATGTGTTGTTTTCTTGCTGATAAAATTTCCTTCTATCAAAGGCCTTGTCCTTAGTGCTGAATCCCACATTGTTGTTGCTGTAGGAATTCCTGTTGAAGTAAAGACAGCCACCTTTAATGAACAAAAACATCAGAATGAAGATAACCATGTATACTGTACAAAATGTCCTGACAAACACTACCATTACTTGTGAGAATAATCCAGTGTTGTTTTCCTCTCAGTACCAGATACAGACCTCCTGTCTACACACGAGCCATTCTGGACTTTAACTTCAGCGCCGCACCAGTGGGGAGTGAGGAATGTGTGGTGGATCTACTGTTGGAGAACACTGGAACTGTCACTTCTGAATGGTACATATGAGAATGGCTTCTATAATCAAAGCTGAGCTTAAAGACTTCAGTTGTAGTTATAACTTTTATACAGAAAGTATGCAATCTTCAGCTGTTCTCTTTCCCAGGACCTTCCTGTTCACAACAACAAAAATTTTGTTCTCCTTCCCAGAGCTTTCCTGTTCACAACAACAAAAATTCTGTTCTCTTTCCCAGGGCCTTCCTGTTCCCGACAGACCTTCAGCTGGAGCTGGAGTACTGGGCGGAGACGGGGGAGTTTGATGAGGAGGAGCTGCACCAGATGAGGGTGACAGACAACAGACTCTTCTCTGTCAAACCCAAAAAAGGACGGCTGGACCCAGGACAGACACAGACTGTCACCTTCACTTACAGGTGAGGATTGACTCTTGGGAAATAGAAGAAAGCACATATTGCTGCAGCTGTTAAGTCTAAAGGCTAAATATGCAGTATGTTTACTACTCTCTGTTTTGCTTTTTTTAGAATGGGTCTCATGTATCTGAATGTTTTCTTCCCCACAGCCATGATATGGTTGGTACAGACCGACTGCCTGTACTGTTCAAGTTGATGCGAGGGCGGGAGATTCTGCTGAACTTTGTCGGGGTGACGGTGGACCCGGAGAGGAAATACGTGCACTTCCCCAGCAGCAGGCACATGTTCGCGCCTGTTCCCGTTGGCGCAACCTTTCCTCCTAAACAGGTCAGGGCTAGTCCATTCTGTCTGTGGGGAGGGACGACAGTCATGGAATTTTGTTTTAAAACAAGAGTTCCACGATCTCATACCTTCGCCAAATGATGTTAACCCTTCCGGTTGACGAATTATACAATTTTAATAATTGATTTCGCAAATAAGAGCGTCATTTGCATGGATTACATCAGTTGATCATATTCTCCACCCAATGACAGCCTCATCTTAACAAAATAGGCTATTGTAGCACTTCCTCATAAATTATGCAAATGAGGTCATAATGTGAATAAATTATCTTCATTGATATTCACCTTCTCTTAACTTCCAAATGCGGCAAGTATGAAGTTCCCAGCAATTACAACTATGAAATTATAACAATTTCCCATTAATTATTCAAATTAGGTCTTTATTTACATAATCTATAACCTCAGATGTTTTTCTCGTTCTCAATTACATGTCACGAGTGTTTCATAATCCTATTATCAAATGAAGCAGATTTATAAAATTTCCTCATTAATTATGCAAATTAGGTCCTGATTTGCATAATTGCTACCTACATGCCAAAAATCATGACAATCCGTTAACCGGTTCTTGAGTTATCCAACTTCGGAGATTTTTCAAGAAATGCTCCTGCAGTTCCAGAACAACCTGCTAGGGGGCCCAAACTCATGTCACTTCTTCCCTACCCCAAGAGCTATCTACCAACCAAAATTCGTGACCCTAGCTTGTCTAGGTCGTGAGATATCAAAACAGGAAGTTCTGCTGCAGTACCAACAAAAGCCGCCAGGGGGCCCAAAATTTAATCATTTCTAGGTCTCATCAAGACCTACCCACATACCAAGTTTCATGACAATCCATATTAAGCTTCTTGAGTTATACTGTTCACAAACAGACAAACGGACAGACGGACAAACGCTACTGAAAACATAACCTTCTTGGCGAAGGTAATAAATAGCAGGACATCAAGATGTGTTTGATTCAGGAGATGAATAGGGCAAAAGAACTTGGCCTCATGGCCTGTATTCAGAATCCATTCATAGTACATGTATCTTTCTGTTCTTGACCTTGGTGCTGAAAAGCTGTTGGTTATAAATGAGTACGCAGAAGTCCAAAAGGTTAAAATTTGGTTTGAAATATCTAGGAACAATGTATTGCTTTTCTTGCCTTCTTTTCAAATGCATTGTCTTAATATTTGTTTATGTATGTTTTTGTGGAGATGGCTTTTGCCCAATCCTCTTTAAACAAATGTGAATAAATTTCTTTAAAATCTCTTCTTTCCCCCCAGGTGTATGAGCTGTATAACGGAGGTGCCGTCCCTGTGACCTACCGCCTGGACCTGACCCCACTTGACCTCCTACAGGGGGAAAACTATAACCAGAAGATCTTTGAATGTCTGAACCCCATAGGGGACATTCCACCAGGCAGAACAGCCGACATTGAATGGGTCTTCTCACCGTTTGAAGCTAAGACATACATGGTGAGTGCTTTTGTCTTCATTGTCTGTAAAAAAAAGTAAAGGTAAAGATAGTCTCATGGTCTTTTTTGAGGCCATAAGAGCATAGGGTTGTTAGTTCATTTTGTCTAGAGCACAGTTTTGGAAGGCGGAGCCCTTCCCTCTCCTTCCACCCTCTTTTACCTCCCCAGCCAAAGTCCATTTTATACCTGGGCAAGTAAAGAAAGGCATGTTAAGTGCCTTTCCCAAGGACACAATGTCTAGCCAGTCTAGCATGAGATACGATTTCCATCGAATTGTTCATCATAATGAATGCATGTGTTTCCATGTTTGCAGGTGGACGTGCCCATTCACATCGTGGGTGGGGACACGGCACTCATCACCTTCACAGGGGTGGGGTATGACAGGAGGATCATGGGAGATACCATGCCCATCACGGAACAAGCTTCCTTCAGCGGGGTACCGGGTAAGTATCCTGTTCTTATACTGTGTATAAGCCTCTACACAGCAGTATACTTAATGATGTATGGTAGGTAGGTTGGGATTGGAACAACAAAGGTCAAAGTCAATTTTGGATACTTTAGCAGTTTTGTCAGGTGCTGCAGCAGGGTACATGGGCATGATATCTCATGCTTTGGTGTTAGAACCAGGGCTCTAGCTAGCTTGAATTTTTTTTCCTTCAGCACACTCCCCGTCAGATAGGTTTTAAAATATTGCTGTCACACGCCACAAAGTACCAGTAATTGATGGGAAATCTGGTGCTGGCTAGAGCCCTGGTTAGAACTGATACAACTGTATAGATCATGCACAGTAGATGATAATATATTTTGACATTACCTCTAACTGTTGTTGTTATTTGCTGTCCCAGGTGTCCAGAGTGTCCCTGTGCCCGGCCAGCTGGTGTTCCTGAACGAGGAGCGGGTGTCGTTTGGAAACATGCCGCTCTTCAGCCGCAAGCGGACAGTCCTGTTCCTGTACAACCGCTCACCCGACCACGTGGTGTCGTTTGAGTGGCACTACACGTCTGCACTCGCCAGTCAGGTAGGGGGTTTGTCAAAATAACAGTTTGTATCTACAGTCAAATTTGTACTAGTAACTACTGGAGCATACAGACCACCTGATCACTGTAGCCCTTTTTTCTGCTTGTCTCTTTGTCTCTGATTATTTTTCCCACCTACATGTACCATGAAAAATGCTATAGTGGCCACCTGTCTACTGACCATTTTCTTTTAGTCCCTTCTGCAGTCAGTATGTACACATACTGACTGCAGAAGTCAGTATGTGTACACATTTTTTGTACACATACATGTAGAGACTCTTAAATCAGGGCAGTAATTTATCTTTGTTTTACTGTGTGTCTAATATTTGGTATGCACAGAAATGCAATCATCAACACAGAAAATACCCAAAGCTTTAGCACCTGAGTGAATCAAACAGGTAAATGCTAAATGGCTGGATGTAAAGACCTTTACCTGTTCCCATACAGTGCCTGGGCATCACCCCAGTGTCAGGAGTCCTGCAGCCACAGGAGAGCCTTCTGTGCAAGGTCGTCTTCACTGCCAAGGGTGTACCGTCCTTCTATGACCTTGACCTCATCTGTGAGGTCACAGACGAGACAGAGATGGCCAAGTACAAGAAGGAGCTTAAGGTATAGTATCAAATACTTCTTCTGCCAGTGTATTAGAAATTGGCAATTCCTGTAACTCATATAACTCTTCAAAATAAGTATGATAATAAACCCCAACCAAAGTCAGGTACCCATTTTATACCTGGGTGGAAAGTTGAGTAAAGTCCCTTTCCCAAGGATAAATACCAGGAACCGAACCTGCTCATGTCTGCTAGCCTAGCCATTGACACCACTGTTATACATCAATAGTAAAAGTAGAACCTGTAGATCTAGACTTCCCCTTGACGTAACATGACATTCTGTTGACCCTGTAGAAATGGGAAGCTGAGAAGGAACGGCAGAAGTATGAGTTCACGATCACGGAGGACAACCTGACCGCAGACGAGGAGAAAGGTCCGCCTTCTCGCACAGCGACGTCCGGCGTGCTGCGGCCGTGTCGGTCTGGCATTGACCAACCACAGCGCTCCAACTCTGAGGGAGACTTAAAGCGATATCAGGTGGGTAATAAATGACAGGTGATTGGTATTTGTATACATAGGATCTCTAGTGTTACAGATGTGTCCATCTGGATGGGTTGATGAAAGAAATGGGAAACTGGGAAAAGTATAGATGGAAAGATGAAAGATTAAAAGGATGAAGAAGGTAATGAAAAGATAAGAAAAGTACTAAAGGTCACTTCACTGCAAATAATAAAAATCTAAAGATGTTGGCCCATGTTCTAATTGATTTGTTTTATTGGTACATGTCAATGGTACCGGTGGCTTTATAATTAATTAGGGGAAAGTACTATCGGTATGTAGGATATAAAAAGTCTGACTTCCTTTCTTCCTTCCTCAGACCTTCTGAATAAAAACAGCCTTTAGAGGCCTACCATTGAATTGATTTTGTTTGCCCAAAAATCTAGTGCCTAAGGATATGATAAAGAAAGGAAAAAAAAGTAGCAAGAAAAGAGAGAATGAAGACAATAATTAATTTTGTTTCCGTGTACCCCAGACACTCCCCCCTATTAGAAAGTCCACCCCTGACCTGAAGAAGTCTGCGGCAGGTGATGACATCTGGGAGCAGCCGCAGCCGCCACGGGCCTTCCTCCTGCACCTGGGAGCCACGGCACGCACGCACGCCATCGAGGAGTTCCAGCAGTACTTCCCTGAGGAGGCCAAGGTCATGTTCATCGACAGGTGGGACTTCTCTTCCATTTTCTACTGTACTCACATATATACAGACATGCAACTACCACATTTTACTTATGATATCTGTACATGTGCATTGATTTTTAGCTGTTATCAAAGATCACCATACAACAATAACTTGCTTCATTTTGACAGAAGAATAAGGATATGATACCATTCTTTCAACCCAGAAAAATGTTACAGCAAATTAAAAAAATGTACACGTGTATGTCATCAAATGTTGTCTTTCTTCACTCTTGCACCACTTTTGTTGTCTCCACAGGTAATAAAGTTTTGGCAGCCTAAACTTTTGACTTGGCTCTATTTTGTTGTTGACTAAAACTAGGAACTGTGTTTATGTGTTTACTGACATTATTTGCTGTTTTCCCCCAGGACGTTGGGAGAAGAGTTAACAGCTAGTCTGAAGAAGAGGATGTACGGGGAGGAGGGAGAGGAGGAGGGGCCTGTCGACCTTGGAGAGGTCAGCCATGAGGAGAAGGACACCATGTCCCACGTCCTGTCCAACATCCTCAGGTAACATGTTGCATGTTGTTATTTGCTCTTATAAAACAGCATTTCCACATCCATTTCATTCAGGTTCTTGAATGATTGAAATAGCAATTTGAAAGTTCTTTATTCACAACCCCTAGAGCTGACATTTCAATGACCATCTGTGCACAATGAACCAGTATCAGTTAGCTTCAGTGCACAGTGAACCAGTCAGAACTGCCCTGATGAAGATGGCATACAGTCATTGAAATGTCGTTTCTTGTTAAAGAAGTGGCTGTGAATAAAAACTTTGCTATGCCATGTCTTCTATCCTAAAATTTTTTCAAGACTTTGTCAAGAGTACTAAAGATGTTTAATATTGTTTTTCCAGGGACTTGTTGGATGACCCTAACTTCCAGGAAGCAGTGGACAACATCAAGAACGAGCCCATTCCGTACTTCACGCAGTTCAGTGAGAAGCCGCTAGGGGAGCCATCCCTGCCGCAGTCTCCTGAGTACGGGCAGGAGGAGGGGGAGAGGGTGTCACCGCTGGAGGAGCCGCCAGTCGCCGTGTCGCCTGATCTTGAACCTGAACTGCAAGGACTGGTGAGTCTAGAGAAGACTTGTCGTCAAGAATTCCATAAGCCTCTTAGCCTCTTAGTTGTCATCACGTTTCTTCCAATAGACTTTTCCAGAAGGATAAATGCAGTAGGTAGTTTGTGTCTAAGCAAATAGTTTTGTTTGTTTCTTTGAGCCATTGTTTATTTAGGAAATACTCATATCAGCTTGCTGGACACTTTTCATTGAAGTCATGAGAGAAGAGGTCAGGGTCAAACACAGTTACACAGTTGCTTAATATATGTCTAATAATATATGACTAGATGTTTTTATAGGTCATGTTACAACTGAAAGCCAAGATCTTTTTCCACAATATCATAGAAGGGACGATGTGTTTAGTAATGACCTTGTGTTGCCCTTGCCAGTCCCCTGAGCCGTCGTACGAGGTGCCGACCCCCGTGGCTGAGGAGCCGGGTCAGGAGAGGATTGACGCCCTCGGGGTGGAGGAAACCATGGAGCTGGAGGCCAAGCTGGAGCAGCAACAGGCTCTCAAGAGGTCAGATAGAGCAAATCTGAAGCTTCTTCTCATTCACTAACTCACTGCATCCTTTCCCACTAAGTTCCCACTAGTAGTTTCTTGTAAATATCCGGTACATAAAGAGGACATTAGACTTCAAGTTGGTATTCAACTTTCTTTTTGAATTGTTGGGGTTGGTTTGCTTTTCTCCAGTATAACAGCAGCTCATACTCAATCTTGTATGTCTCTAGGACCCCAGAGTTTGCCAGCCTGCTGGAAGACGTGATTGAGAACACCATGGCCAACATCATGATGGAGGCCAGTCGTGGTGAAGTCAACCTGACGGCACGGCCGCGTATCATCGCCCTCCCGCCCAGCTCCGCCAGCCCACAGACTCTCGTGAAGACCGGCTTCACCACGACGATGACGCAGAAAACAGGCCACACGACCCGGACCAAACCGGCCACGACCGTTCCGCCCAGCACGTCGTTCACGCAGAAAACGGGCGTGACCACGGTCGTCTCCAGGCAACAACAAAGCATCAGCACGACTACCAGAGACTGATGCTATCTGACATGAACACTGTGTATATATTTTCAGCGGAGCGGCACAATTATTCTGTCTGTGTTGTTATGATTGCCGGCACAGATTTGCCAATCTATGTAGAGAATTCTGTAACAATAAAGGTGTCTTTTCTGACATATTCTGATGTATAATATAGAACCATAGCTTGTTGCACACTTGTATGCTGTATCATATATAGGCTCATATTTTTTTGCAAACTTATTGATTTTTTCTTACAATTATGAAAACATGATGTTTCAACCAAACATGGTTTGATTTGGATTTTGTGAGTGATTAGTGCCTATTGTGCCTTATATAGGGCTGCTGCAAGCTGTATAAAATCGAAGTCATTTTCTAACCAATGGTCTAAGTGTCTTACACAAAGAAGACATCCTTTCTCTCCAAGTGCCTTATACTGGTTAGTTTCTTGTAAATACATAAAAGGAATATGGAGACTTGGTATTCAACTTTCTTTTTGAATTGTTGTGGTTGGATTGCTTTAAAAAAAGTTTCTGTATTCATTGTATAAGAAAAATGAAAAAAGGCTGTGTATTGTACATGTTGTAGACAGCACATTCTAAGATTTTCACACAGAAATCTTTTGAAGATGACACATCTGAGGTGTATGAACTATTTTCTTGTTGGAAGGGGGACCACATGTATATGAATGAGAATTGCTGTAATTTTCTATGAGAATTAGAAGTCATTAAACAGAATTCTGCACTTTCTGAATATATATTATATACATTGCACATGACTTTCTTGTTTTTACTTCTATGTATGGAGTTTTTGGTGTCTGTGTTTGTTGCGCTTCTTTTACTTTAGAACCCTGTCATCCTTCCAGTACCAAAGAAATGTTTGGTCACAAACTTTTTTTCACGGACACAAATTTATACATGTGCAGATGTATGATCAAGTCATTGTGACCTTATAGGCAATATGTACTTATGTCTCTCAGAAACTGAAAAAGCAACAGAACGTAGAAAAGTACTCAACAATTTATTTGTCAAGATAAGAAAAGACTTGCTTCATACAATCAAGGAGTGATGAAAGCTCCTTGATACAATACATACCATGACACAATGGTTGTCTCATATTCATAATTTCATTTCTTTTAAAATAGCAGCATAGCATATAGATTTTATGTACAATTTCACGATATTCTCACAATTTTCCAACTACTCTCAACATTTTATACATCACATCACATTACATTAAGTATTGCACTTTGTGAATTCATCTGAACAACATTTTTGTCAACAACAAAGACGTCATACCAGCATGAATACGAAATAATCTTACACAATGACAGTACAATATACGGTACACCACAATGTTAAAATGCATCTTTCAGATACAACTCGGATCAAATCGAGATTATGATAACACCATTGAGAAGTGGATTTTGCGAACGTTCACATTGTTCCATCCAAAGTTGTTCAGTATCACCTCAGAAAACGTGTGGTAAGTACGATGAGAGCAGCCATGTTGAATGTGCCGGAGGTCAGAGTTCACTGGTGGTACTGCTGGTAACACGCCATGAGAAGGTCCGGGAGGGGGAGGCTGTCCATCATCGTCATCAGCACCAGCTGCAGGTCCAGAATGCACCTGTCTACACCTGGGCAGGTGTTCATCCTGGGGGGGGGGGCATAACAGGTGTCAGTCAAATCAACATTACATGCAAGACTATCTGTGGCATGCAGTCAACAGTCTTGTAATGCTATCCAGGCCTTGCAATGTTTTTGTTAACCTTTAGTATGCTGAAATAGCCATCTGGCTATCATTGTCAATAGTTTGTGGTTAGGCAACAAGGAGAAGGTTGAACAATATTTCTCATGGAAACCACAAGAATAAATGACATGACTACATCAGCAATGCAGTGCAAAACACAAAGTTATTCCTATCACCTTAAATGATGGACAGGTGTATTTTGTCATAGTTACCTAGTGTTACTGTTAACGAGACTCGCGGCCAAGTTGAGCGCTGCGAGAGCGAGGCTGGAGGGAGCGTGCTGACAGATGACGTAATCCTGCAGCGACGTCACCAGCAGGTGTCTGGCCAGACAGCTGGTCAGCTGGTCGTACTGCCCGTGCGCTGCCAGGTGCTCCAGGAACAGGATGGAGGTGGGGACGGTCAGGTGGAAACCAAGCGTACTCAGGACTCGTCTCTCCAGCTGTGCAACAGAAAACAGGTGTCACAACTCAGTAACAAGAATTAAACTGCAAGTGCATTTAAGGATAGAGAGCTAAACTTGTGTTTTTTTAGTATTCTACATGTTTTGAATGGATATGGGCCACAAGTCTGAGGTAAAAAAATAGGTGAGAGATATGTTTCATTTCTACCTGCTATTTGCCCACTTGCCCTTGACTGTAATGTCACATTCTCATATCTTATGTTTGTATCAAGCCTCCATTTATCATGTCAACGATTTGAATGATTTTACACAATACAAGGAATTGTATGGAGAACAAGCATATTGCAGATGTATGGAGAACAAGACTCGGGTTGAATACTGACCATTCTGAGCTGCCCACGTGTGTACTGCCCTTCATCACACAACTCTACAATCTCCTCAGCACACAGGGGGTGGACTTCCTCCTGTAAATACATAGTGGGAAAAATCAGGTACATGTCTAGGGAAAACACACATGGGGCTCGTCTTGCAATTTTCTAAATGAAGTTGCTGTTTGAAAGGAATCTGTCAGGGGGTATTTTTAGTAATTTTTTTCCGTAGACCTGGGCCTACACATAAAAGCACCATAGTTTCATTCAAAACCCACCGAACAGCAATCAAACACATACCTGAAATGGTAACTTACATCCTATATGCTTCAACACTTGCTGCACACTTACGTTGTTAGATTGGTCACTATGATTTTGAGATCAAAAGTATGTAAATGTTTCGTCATAAGCAAATTGGCCATACAGTTAAATTTACAATTCTCAACTCACCATTTTGGCGGCGATGAAAAGCGCAGTGGCCCCAAGAAGCTGTAGGCAGTCCAGTCCGAGTGGTGTCACGGCCAGGAAACGGTCCAAGATGTTGACTGCAAGGAACAGCGTTTCCGGTAGGAGGCGCGGTCGCACGGTCTGACACACCTGCGTCAACCATCGCACCAGCAGGCCTCGCATCTCAGGTGTGATCTGTAACAACGGGATAGGAATTCATTTATGCCAAACATTCATAGCTCATCTGATCACGGACTTTATAAAATCGTATCGGAATTATATTGAGTAGAATTATATGCCATTTAAGAGAAATAAAACAGATAACGTGTATAAACAAATATACATGTATGGACTGGACTCGCCGAAAACACAGAAGCAAATAAACTGGAAAAATTTAAAGAACGTTCTATTACCTGAGGTTGGTTGTTGAGGAACTGGACGGGATGGAACTTCACTTCGTTGCTCTTCATCATCAGAAACCACTCGTTCAGGTAAGTCGGGTCCGCAGGGGCCAGCGACACCGGGCTGTCCACGACCATCTGGTCGGGCACACTCCACTTGGGCGCCGCAGCCGCACTGGGGAAGGCATCGGTGCATCCATGCATTGGACTGACATCGTAGATGTCCTGGAAAAGTACAAATTATTATTACAAGAGATTACACGAGAACCCATCAAGTAAACAATTCTTTTAATCATTCCATTTAATCGCAGAATTGCACGTTACATGTAAGTATGAAACACATAATTAATTCTAATCAAGACTATAAATCGATTAATATAATCTGCTGCTTGGGCTTGCGATCGGACTGATCTGTACAAGAACATTGTGGTAAACCTTTGATCGTTGGCCACGATGAACAATGATTTATATACAGTATTTAGGAATCCGATCGTAATGTACAAGTGCCGATTGTCGACCACGTACCTCGCAATGATCTGAGTCCGATGTCTCTCCGTCACTGCCACGCCGGGATGGGAACTTCAGGGCAGGCTTCATGGCGATCGCAGACGGAAACATTGTAATCAGAGTGTCGTAAAACAATCAACGAAGTACCTAAGCTTCTCAGAATATTGGACGATCTCGAGATGTTGTCAAATCCACGAGGAATGGTAAGGATCCATCGAAAATGTTCCGATTTATACCTGAAAAAGCAGACGGCTCAGTCTGGCAGACGATCGTCCTGTCTCGCCAGCATGTTTCCCGCCAAATCGCACGGGTTTGTCCTGGGTTCTGATTGGTTGGTTGGATAATTGCCGACAGACACACCTGGACGGTCTCTGTCTGGATAATCTCAAGTCTGCTCTCTGATTGGTCAATCGCATAATGCAATCATCAGGTGGCGAGACTCTGCGCATTCCTGCACGTACAACAAATGTTACAGAAGCGGTGGTTGCTTATTCCTTTACAAAGACTGGAGCTGGCCAGTCCAAATTTGTGTTGGAATCTACAGTTAAACATTGGCTCAGAATAATTTCGACCAACACAGATGAACTTAAAAGCAAAAATTAAGAGTGATAATGAGGAGAATTGCTTGAAAACTATAAGAAGTTTGGAGACCCTCCCCATTGCCATATATGGAATCATTACCACATATAGAAATCGCTCTTTCATCTTCAAGCAGATGTTTGGAGAAGATGTGACGGTTTTCTCCGTTCAAACATGACACCATGCGACAGCGTCCTCTAGCGGTTAAGGTATAAAACGCAGGTCTCTCCACACCACCGTCAATGAATGGAGAGGGGGATGAGGAGGTGATTTCTCCTCTGTTCTAGTCGAACTGTCCACATTGAGGTAGAACCGGTTATCCTTTGCTCCTACCGGAGGGAAGTGGGACAACTGTGTATAAATACATAGTCACAATTCCTCCGTTATTTTATGTACCGGCAGGTCTAGAAAAAACTATCTGACCGAATTCGAAGCCTCATTACCGGTACCGGCTTCCATGATGTTATCATTGACGATCTTTCTGGGGGTCGATTTTACATGTGTATTGTTAAGCTTCGCTGACTTGCCAGCTCATGTAGCATAAGTCCTACATACATTATGTTGTATGTGTCTCGAGTCTTTGATAGCAATCATGTTAATGGCGCCTCCAACAGATAAACCACAGACTGACATTTGCAATTACGTCACACAAATCTGAAGGATATGGGCTATCTAACGGCAGTTAGATTTTCTGTTGACATGACGCTCCGTTATTTGTCTCAATAACAACACGACCGCGCTGCGGTCTACAAATAATTTACCCTGTACAAACACTGTGCCTTTTATATTAAGGGCGGTTCATTTGTCTTGTGTCAGAACTGGTCTTTATGGGCCTATGGCAACACTAATGCTTAGCCAGTGGGACGGTAATAGGTGGTTTTAGAGCAGCAGTTTTTCTGTTGGGGTTTGGATTCCCTTGTGAGTGTGTAGCGGTTTGGTTTGGATACCGTCAAACCTCAAGGCACAGCGCTTTGGGTCACTGACTTGTCACTGTAACACGTCAGTCTAAAGATGGCGGTTCGGGCGCCCATGTCAGACGACATGTCGGCATCGTCGGGACCGATAGGACTGGTGAACGATACCACGAGTCGGACACTCGAGGTCGCATTCAACGTTCTGAGTGGCCTCTTCAAACACATGCGGTCCAACAGGAAGTTTCGGGACTGCTACGAACAGGGGACGAACGTTGCCGACCTTGTCCGAGTCGTGACGCCGAATGTTCTACAGTGCCGGCTGCCTTTGGACATCGGCAAAGACTGGGACGATTTTGAGGTGAACAAGTCATTTTTTTCACAGCTATGTTTCATGCAATTTTCTTGTGAAGTATACATTTTCCTATTATTTGTACAGAGATAAATGCTCACATTGTTCAAAGATTACCACTCCCATCACGGACAAGAAGCTATTTTGTCCTAGACCTTTGTGTTATCTATTATCTGTGTCAGTCTTTGAATCGTTCAAAGGATGTAGTTTCGCTCCAGAAGTACCCAATTCAATTACTCAATTGGTGCGTTTAGTGATACACAATAGTGTACCTGTGGAAAATGTTACATCGTTTCCTCAGATAACAAGAACCCTAAAGACACGATTGTTTACTGGCACGGACAAAATTAGAAAACCCTTGTGGGAAACAAAAACAACTGTATATTGTTTCACAATTGCGACTTGTTTAAAATTTGTCGGAAGCTGTCTTAATCTAATTTTCGCAAATCCGAATGAATTACGCGACAGTTTCAATACATTGTGGTCTTTGTTTTCCCATTGCAGTAGTACTGGCATTTGATTGAATTAACAATCTGACCTCAATAGCGTATGAAGATTTTTATCACGGAGTCCGAAGGAGACGAATGGATAAAACTATATATCATACATCGCATGTTGATAAGATATTTCTGCCTTATTATAAGATATGTTTGATGCACATGTATTTTTAGCTTATTATCTGGCTGTGCTCCAAAGAATCATCGGAAATATCATAGCGTTACGTTCCTAAAATATATACTTGTAAGGTTGTAATATTTGTTTCTGCATACCCCACAGAAACAAACTGATATTCACACGACCCTCATATGCTACTAAGCACCAGTTGACATTAAAAAACGATCTCCTTCTAAAAGGTTTCTTTTCTTCCGTTACGCTGTCACTGGGGAGAAAGCCCGCATAACATAGCAACGGAAGGACGTGAATACCTGGCTAGATCAAAAGATCTTTCAGCATTTTATTTCTTAAAAGGTGAAAGGTGCACTGTGCGTTAATGGCAAAACAAGGCGACTGTTAGCAAGGTGTTTTGCTAACACTGGTGGGGTATTTGATTTGGGTGGTAAGTCAACATTTGGGTTGTTAAGGACGAATGGGATTATATGCAGAAGGTTATAATGAGAACGGTTGAACTAGTACTGTTGTACACGACTTTGTAACACAAGATGACGGGTAGACTTTCACAGCAAACCTAATAAATCATCAAGTGTACAACAGGTATTTTTCACGATAGCTTGTTAGAATGTGTATCTAAACAAAAGATAAAATAACGAATGGAGGATTGGGTTTTACAAAACAACGAAGAGATTGAGATATGATTTTTAGAATAAAGTGTGTGTGGGCGGGGGGGAGGCTTGCGAAAGAAAAGGCATGAACAAAGCAGACATTGTTAAATCGTTAGATTTTGATGCCTTCTGTTCAATGTGACTAGGTTGTAGAGGCCTGCATTGTCATGTTGTACACTAAGTTTGTAAGTTTGGGTTTGTTCTTGATCCAAAATATTTTCGTTTGGCTCTTTAGGTTTGGACCAGCCGAGACCAAGCCAGCATTCCCGCCAACCAGGTCCTGTACAAAGTCGCCGAGAACCGGCCCAAACCGGCTCGATGGACGACGTTCCTTGACGTGGAGCGTTACCTCAACCCGTTAAAGATCTACACATGGCTGTTTGGTATTGTGTCGTCAGCAGTACAGCATCTCAAACTGAACTTACAGTCCGATCTACGCTGGGTACGAGACGGTGACGTGCCCAGGCTGCCCTGGTCCCGAGTCGTTGACGTCATGGTGCGACAGAAGAGACCAGTGGTGATGTTGTTGATAGAACGTTACGGCGACTTTCCTACCATCACAGTTGAACTCATCACGTCTCTGACGTGTTACGGTTGGCCGGACAGCGCCGTCCCCCTGAACAGACTACCGCTGAGGATGAAGCACGAAGTAGAGAGAAACGTCATCGTTTGGCACATGGAAGCCAGGCATTATCCTGGCGTGACGTCTTCGTCGAAGGTCGGAGACGCGTCGGAGATGATCGAGGGGCGGAAATGGGCGATCTCGACCGACCTGATCGAGGACCGGCTCACCAAAAGCACCCTGCCCATGTGGGACTCCGTCATGCTACAGGTCAACCCCGCTGTCATCATGGCGCATGCGCAGATCGTGGATGAGATCTGCTTTTTGCCACAGAACGTGATTCGCGCTTGCGTTCTGTGGGAAGACACTGACCTGACCGCCGATGACGTCGACGATGACGTTGACGTAAACGTGGGCAGCGCGCATGACTCCTGGCGTCATGAAGGAGAACAACTCCAAAACCACCTGACGGAAAGGTATAACGGTAACCATGCCAACCACAGCGGCCCTCCCAACTCCTTGACTCGCGTGGATCTGGGGTTTCTGAGAGCCAGCAGATGAACGTGCGCGTGCGCAGTGAGTGGGGCCGCAGCGGGTTCGTCGCCCGGGTGGAGGGCCGCAGTGCTCCATGGGAGACCCGCGAGGACTCCTGGGAAGACGGCCTGCTGTGTGTGGAGGGGCCGTGGCAGGGGGTGCTAGCCCGGCTGCACAGGTGCATGAAGACCCGCTTCTGCCGGAGCTTCCTCTTTCCTGACGCCAACCTGCTGGCCGATCTGACCGACGCACAGATATCTGACGTGTCTGCCAACTTTTACACACTCCTCAGACACCTGGGCAGACTCTCGGCACAGAAAGACGACTACTAACGACGATTATCCATTCCCGGCCTATCTGTTCCTCTAGAGTTATATAGTTGACGCACTTCAGAGATAGACTTTTACTGATAATCCAGTTTCCTCCTCACTTGTTTGGCATGTTTTCCCAAGATTGTGTTCGATGCTACCGTTTGTATGTGTATGTTGTGAATGCATGAATTGACAATTTTCTGCACATGTTCTACTTTGAATAGCATTAATATATTTGTCTCAGACATTGCAATTGGATGTTTGATTCTATGTAATTTAAAGTACATGTAGTATAATATAGTTAAATTGGAAACGACGAGTGATGTGATATCTTCACATGTATTATGGTTGCAAAGTTAACTTACTTTGATTTGATATCACACGGCAATAGTAACGTAACATAACAAGAATGAAATAGTTGATTCAAAGGTCTTGTTGTAGCTTTTAATAACCTTTTCTCACCCGTTTTTGTCGTACTTTTGCTCTTGATTCAATAGCAATGAGAGCATTTGTTTTTCTCCATTTTGTCTTTGCGATTATATGGTGACCATTTCCATTTGTGTCATAATAAACTAAGTACATATTGCTTACCCTTTGCCCATGTGTACCGTGCAAAACATCGAAATATGCTTACATATATATACCTTTCTGTATCTTTTATCGTACAAAAGTGCAAAAAAATATATATTTACAGTTTGTGTTCATTACTTTCGTTTTGTCATGTGCGGTTAATAAAAACATACAGAACGTGCATTCGCATATTCCATATCGTCTCCTAAGATGATCTTTCTCTATCTATATATGAATTGTGGTCCAATGTACAGTCTAAAGAGACATGGTGACCGGAAACTGGGCCCTTAACAAACGTGTCCTTTCCTGTTCGCTCGCTAGGAGGCTCTCCACCTTACCCGTCATGCTCGCCAGTCTGGAGGCGGGCACGTCCCTCAGCACGTTCACGTCATCCAGGTAGAAATGCGGGAGGTTCTGCCTCTTCAGGTAACCGTGCAGCAGCCGTAACATCTCCATGAAGCAGCCGGCGAAGCTGTAGGCGTGCCAGTCGTCCTCGTCGATGTGCTGGTCGAACATGTGCATCAGAACTGTCTTCATAGTGTAATCCGACAGGTGGCGCAACATCGCGTCCTTACGGAAGGCGTGTTTCATGACTTGTAGTACTTTGACTCTTCGGCCGCCGTCGGCTTGAGACAAATACCTCACGACTTTGCCTTCCTCCACGCAGTAGCACCTTCTCCAGTAGTAGTCTGAGAGTGTGTAGTCCGGGTCGTCTCTGTACGATATCGCCACCAGAAATGGCTCGAGCTGGTCTACCGTGCCTAACGCGGGAAGCAGACGAATTGTGACGCCGTCTTCCGTACTTAGTCGAACACCGACTCTCTCTCCTCCGAGTGCGTTACGGCAGTCTGGGTGAATGATGACGTTTGGTAGCGCCGTTTCTTCTAGCGCCTTTAGAACTATTTTCTGTAGCCGCTTTGTTACTTTGATAGGTGAGATGTATCCTTCCCCGGTGCGACACCCCGACCAAGTGTCCTTCCCGGCGTTCTTAGAACCTCTCCGAGAACGGACGCAAACGTAATCCGTCGCCGGTCGGCGCGTCTCGGAGCACTTCGGGCCAAGTCGGAAAGGCACGACGACGTCGAATTCGTCGGGAATACCGTTTTTCATTCCGTCGTATCCGCTTCCGACACACACAAAATCCCCTATTGTCATACTGTATTCGTTTTCTTGCACAAGTGGACTCAAAGTTCCCAAAACATTGGCGACGCTTTGTCGGACACTTAGAATCGCGCTACACGGGATCTCAAGTTTGCTCTTATAGTACGTGCGAATGTATTGGTCAAGATGTGACTCACTGTCCGTTCTTCTGATTGGTCGTTTTGTCAGGATACCAAGTGACGTTGCTACAGAAAAATTAAATAAAAGTAAACAATCATAAACGGAATATCAATAACTACTCGGAAAATGACTACACATATCGTATTAAAGTCATAATTAGACCCTCAGAGATGTTAGACCCTAGACACTGTCTTCTGCAATACTCTGCAATATTGCGTTACTGAAGTAGACTGATTTCTGGGTCAAGTACACTTGAAGATAGGTATATACTTACATGTCCTCTTCTTGACGGAGGATGGCTTGTCCCAAAACCGGACCTTCGTCGCCATGGTGACTCTAAAACAACATTTCACATTTCAATGAATTCTGTACATTCAGGAAATAACAAGTACATTTCACTACTTCAAAACATTCACTACTTCAAAACATTTCACTACTTCAAAACTCTTACTCTAGCAAACATTACTTTTGCTGTTGGATCATGTTTTGCGATGAAAAAGTACCATTAACGATTTCGATTATAAATGAATATTCAGCCTGTTCTTCCGACATTTCCATACACAGAGCTAATGAAAGAAAGGAAGCAACTGGAAAAACAAATATATACCTACTTCCCCCCGCAAAAGAAAAACACAAACTTCCAACCGTTATAAAGTCCAAATGTACCAAACAGCTTTAGCAACACACAATGCACTAGGACTGCAAAAAAGAAAATTTTCCAGTTCGCAGCCCGAGAAAAATCCACCATCCAGCAGTCTCCAGCTTAGTCAAAAACTGCTACAGTAACTGTTTTCAGTGGTCTCCATGGTTAAGGCACTCCTACTTAATGAAGTTAAGGGTTGTTTTGGGAACTTAGTAATTACCAGGGCGCGGACCGAGGAGTAGCCCATAATCGAACAACGAGGACCTTTTTGTGCCCCTCGCTTTTGACATAATCCAATCAAGCATACCCAAGCCCTGCACTTTCAAAAGAAGTATTGTGTTAACAAGGTGTGGTGGTGACTTCATTCAAAAATTACACGTCGAATCACGCAATCTCTTTAATTCATAAAAACGCAGTCAAAATTTTATGATTGATCAATATCCCCATTTTCTCGTGACATCAAAATAGGTGGTCTGTTGGCTTTGAACTGATTTTATTGAGCGTCGTGATGTGAATAAATGTTGTGTGGACAGGTGCGCTGGAAGCTATGTTGACTCTGTAGCAACAGTCGTTTTGAGTCGACTGATAAAACGGAGCCTACACTATCCCAACAGGAGGAAATCCCTCCACAAATGTGAAGACTTTGTATCCATAGCAACGTTTAAAGAACAGTACTTAAGCGACATCAGAAGATTTAGTGCACCCTATAACGGTAATCTGTGCAGCCAGTGCGACCGGTATCCACAATAGCTTTGTGTCAACTTAGATCTTAGAAGAAAAATAAATAGAATCACAGCGGTACATAATTTCCCTAAACCACTACTTATGGGGAAAGACTCACGCAAACGTTGACTGCTTTTTCAGGCCAAGGCTTTGTGACAGAAATGCTAAGTCCATTTGTGTGCACACAAAAAACAGAAGGGAACCTTCCGTTGTGAGTTATGGAACATTGCAAGAGTTTAGAGATGGGTGATTCGAGTGGAAGGTTTAGACCTAAGGACGATGTGGAAATGTTATTGTTTAGTTAATATGCTTTGTTATTTGTACATCTTCATCAGTTGCGACGTTCAGAACTAATGTGGTAGTACTACTAATGATCATTGTAAAGTAAGGACCAAGCGGTATCCAACGAAGACAAAGAAGAGCTTACATAAAGTCTGCTACTAAGGTTATACATTACTATCTATATTCGTCGGTTTTAAGAGCTGCTACTAGAACGACCAACTCGCTGTTCGTTCGTCCACACTTGAATATTGAAATATCATTATGTGATTCTTCTAAAATGGTGCCTTTCCTTGTATAGAAAGGCCAGTTATTTCAGAGTAGTTCAACAACCAGTGGGTTTAAATCGGACGTTTTGGTGACCGTATGCCACCTTCTTCAGAACAACAATCAGTGTGGATAGTTTTTACTCTGGGATGAAAGCTCCTTGGTAAAAACCCAGCTGGTTGTTGAATGAAGAGCCTTCCGAATTAACGCTGTCATTCTTCAGTTTACTCGTACATGTATCTCGCCACACGGACTTGTACGGTGGGAGGGTGGGGGTCGTCTCAATGTTACTCTGAAAGGTCAAAAAGATCTCCACCTTTACAAACCACGGTCACACCGTGCCAACATCAATAGCAACTATATAAGCAGAACCTACCTTTCTTTTCCATGAGTCTTCCTTCGCTTCGACACCAGCTGCGACATCCTGAAATCCAACAACAAGCCCGTCAACAGCTGCTAAACCTCCCGTACGCGTCCTGCGTGTTTTCTGACCTGTAAGTGTGTTAGGTGCAACAGATTTGATGGTCGATAGACTTCTAAAAGGTTATGCTTCCCTAATCGTACACAAAAGGTCAGGATACCTGGCTATGAAGGAGGAAACCGGATCCCGGATGGAGTATGTGAGGAGCCTGGTTAGTGCATGCGCGTACTGATTATAGTAAAGTCTTTCTTGCCTTTAGTTTTGCAGCCAACCGATGTAGTGTACGTAGTGTGTGTAAATAAACGTTATTGTTGTTGTTCAACAAACAGGTATGTCGAAAGATGATTCTGCGGTATACGTATTTATTTAGGTCACGCCTAGTAACTCAATTTGAAGGTCAGAAAAACCCTCTCAACTTCGTGTTCAATATGTTTCCAAAGTTTTGCCCGTGCCTCTATGATTTAAACAAGAAAGACTGTTATTTTCTGTCAGTAGTTTTCAAAGTGTGACCTAGATGATAGCCCACCCTATTCTATAATGATTACTATCAAGAACTTGCAAAGCAACTTTTGCTCAGGCAGCCGTAGCTATAGACCTGTGTATTGGTGGGAATTCGAAATTCAAATACCGGTACACATTGTACACATATACGGAGTAATACAGTCCTTTTCAAATATATTTCTTTACCGAAAGGGTTACGTTGTTAAAATCTTGTCGCATATAGCTATATGTATGTACCTAATTTCCCAGTAGTGTTCTAACACAGGGACGACACACATATATAGCGTTGCCTAGTCGCACTTCGTGGGAGATTTTTATCCATTGCAAAGACACCCTTGACATAACCACCTGCTCCAAAAGTTGTTTTCCTTTCTTGGGAGAACAACTGAGAAGCACAAGAAGGACTGTCGTCCACTCTTGCACAGGTGCCTGAAACGGGTAAGAAGTACCCCGTCACCGCCCCCCCCAAAAAAATCACAATCTGGTATTACCTGTTAAGTCTTGTGGTCCTTCTTCAAACACTGTATTTTTCAGGACTGCCGCAGTGATGCGCTACAGCACCATATGTCGCTGTGCAACTAAAGGAAACCATGATGGTTTCAGAGCCTAGGTCACTGCATCCTGTCTCGGCCAAAACGATCGCGAAGTCGACATGTAACTTACGATTTTAAGTCAGCACAGTGCAGCCTTTCTGAAGTTGTCATAGCTCCGCTGGTGATGTTGTCGGTGAAATTTTACGCGATAAGCAATCTTGTTTGCTCGACAAAAAAACGCGGGCGCAGCGCTTTGTTGACTGCCGGGGTATCGTTGACTTCTTGTATTGACTAAACATGACTAAGGTTTTTGATACCGTGGTTGTTTTTCGTGGGCCGCAAATGATCGACGCCGTATTGCAAAGTTATCCTCCCTCAGCAACCACTGAGTAACTACTGAAAGTCGATAACCTATTAATTGGTAAACGAAGTATAACCGATTATTTTGAACTTGGATATCGACGCACGGATAAACTTGAACAGGTGCAAAGAAGATTGTTGCTTACATGTATACAACTACCGCTAGATGTCGCTTTTGCGCTATCACTAACCCCAGGCAACTTTCACTTCCGGATTGCACACATGACCCTTCTGGACAATACGTCACTTATGACTGACTTGGCAGTTTGACAAAAAGCGATTGTTGAACGAAAAGGTTTGTTTTTAGCTCATCCTTCATTTGCGTTAATTCCTTTTAATTTTATCTTTGTCGACATTATTATGGCCAACTGGAGTTTTATATACGTATACCTTACATGTAATTGTGTGTGTTTTAAGAATTCAATTTGTTTTCAGATTTGATTTGGCAGAGTGTCGTTTTCATGTTCATGGAAATTAAGACCAACTGTGAGGCTGAACAAGACAAAACTAGAATCTAGATTTAGTCTAGCTATAGATTTTAGCAAAAGCTGTGGGGTTGCTTTAGCCACTGAGGGAAAACTCAGAATTGTCGCAGGGGTGGTTGAGTGTAGCTAAATTTAGTTCTCAAGTTCTTTTATATTGGCAATTGTCATCCTCTGTCAATTTTCTCTCGTGTAGTACTACTCTTTGCCGTGCATTTTGGTCTCCTTTTGTAACATTTTAACAGATTATCCATCCCATCCCATACCCATACTGATCCTTCCATAATTGAGTTGACCTAGTTATAGTATTATTGAAAGCAGCCATTTTGTCTGTTCTAGGAACGCCAGGAAATGCTCCTGTGCCGCTCCCTCCTGTTCAGAGTTTCTGCGTGTAGAGTGAGAACGCCGTGCAGAACTACGTGTGCGAGGTTAGTCCGCTAACGCGCGCGCTGGAAGGATTGATTTATCTCCAATATTTACAGGAAACTCTAGAGGCCGACGAGAACACTTTGAACTGGGTCACACACTGCAGTTCGGGGACCAATCGCTAGATGGTGACGGTCAAGGTTGGCGTTACAGGTGTGATAAGTGTTGTGGTGATTCTCATTGGAGTTTTCCTTGCTTGGTTGGAGTACGGTACAACTGGGGAAGAGGAATACTGGAGGTGACTAAATATATCCTTTACTGCACTTGAATTGAATTTAGAAAACTAAGATATTGTCTCAGGACCTGCCAACATTAGACTGTTCTGTAGTGTTTTTTGAAATCATTTTCATTTAAGTGCTTTCTAATATGTATACTGAAGATATACATTGTATGAATATCATATTATGTTTATTGTCAGTTTCTGATTGTGCTAAATGTTACCTCACTCCAGAATGGCAACCGCAGCTATGCAAACTGATGAGGAGTTTATTGCAACCAATCAGAGTGCTTTCATGGTTGGAGCTACAGGAGAAACTGGAAAGCACATTTTGGAGGAGCTGACTAACCGGAAGCTCTTCCAGACCATCACTCTGATTGGTCGAAGAGAGGTCACATATGAAGGGGAGAAGTACCAGTCCATTGTAATTATACATCATTTTTTCAAACATTGTTTAATCTTGAATCTATGTTAAAGAATGAGTTTCATTAATTCACGAATATTAGTTCATTCAAGTTACTACAAAGCGTACAACTGCCATTTGCTTTAACACAGTCATTTTGGAGGCACTTATTTTTAGCTAGGGGTATTGCATGCAAGAGAAAATGAATGACAAGTTAAAGATTAGGGAAGATTGAGATTGAGGAAAGATTAGCATTTACGATTAGAAAAAGACTCCTAGGGAAATTGTCTTAAGAGTACCTGGCAGAATTATCAAATATCTGACCACAGTGTCTTTCACCAAACTGTATTGAGATGAACCCAAAAGTTTGGAAATGGGGGGAGAATGACATGTTTGTGTAACAGGTCCAAAAGGTTGTAGACTTTGACAACTTGGACAGCCATGCTGATGTCTTTAAGAACCATGATGTGGGCTTCATCTGTCTTGGAGCCAGAGCTGGAAACACAGGAGTAACCAGCAACCTGGTAAGTCATGTACTGTCAATGGTGGAAAGTTTTGAAACTTCAGTACTGAATTGATATGTCTCCTGACAGCCTTTTCAAAGAGACGTACATTGTTGTTTATAACATCTTTAGGTATGCAGTGAAAGCACATTTCAGTAGTTCTTTTCTCAGAAATTGCTAACTTTAGACATGAAAAATGTAACTCAATATATAGATGTCACTGATGCATCATATTTCAGTGCTTTGTTGACGAAGGTTAGACTTCTGGGTACACAATAAAATCAATTTCAGTGTTGAATGTTGTCTTTTGTACTCTAGCCTGCCCTGAGGAAAGTTGACCATGACTATGTGATAAAATCTGCTGAGCTGGCCAAGGCCGGGGGATGTCGCCATCTTGTCCTGTTGTCAGCCATGAAGGCCAGCAAGGATGCCTCCCACCCGTACTCCAAAATCAAAGTAAGTGTACAGTCAGGCAGTAACACTCACACACGAGTGCAGTGCACCTCAAATGTCAGTCTATCATATGTTACAGTACAAAATGTCAAACCTGTACTTGTGGCTGTTGTAAACACTTTCCTGTGGTCCCTACGGTTATAATACTAATAGTAACTTTTCCCATTAATCCAAGCTATAAGAGATCATGAGTTTACAATGAAGTCTAGGCCATTTTAGCTGTAGATCTCACCAGTTCTGGTTGTCTGGTTTGTGTGTCTTCCTGAATAAACTGCAGTACATGTTTTGTCTGACAGGGGGAGGTGGAGGAAGAAGCAAAAGCCTTCGGCTTTGACAGGCTGTCCATTTTCCAACCAGCGTAAGTTCAAAGTTTGGTCCTTTTCTTTAACATTTCAGCAGTAATAGTTATACTTTTGCTGCATTAAGTAATCCAACACAATAAATGATCAAAAGTTTTAACTTTAAACAATATATGATCCTAATCGCATATATTTTCTGTATGTTAGGGTCATCATGGTTGACAGGAAAGATGAGACCAGGGTTGGGGAGTGGTTTCTGAAGAAGGCTCTGGCACCGGTCGCTTTCTTCTTTCCAACCGCCCTCACGGTTCCCATAGCAACACTCGCCAGGGCGATGGTAAACACGGCCCTGACGCCAAAGGACCAGGATGTAGAGGTTCTGGACAACAAGGCTATTCATCGTATGGGGGGCAAAAAGTAGCAACTTTTCTGACAACTTAGCATTGGAAGATTTGTATTATGGTGAATAGGATTACTGGTTATATAATTAATATAATATAGAACTACACAGCACTGAAATGGTGAAACCTTTGATAGGGCAAGTTGTTTCTGCCATATATTTTTCTTCTCATGTTTTTGGTAGCTTGTGTTTTGCAGCTTGAAGGGGTAGTGCAGTATGGTGCAATCAATGTATGATGAACAATCCTGACAAAATACTTTTTAAGGTCTACTTAATCCTACTTTACAAACCTGTCTGCATTATTCTATATTCAAATCTACAATCTACAATCTAACTATGGTGCAAATATGACATTGGCAGAGGCAAGAGATATGGAACACTTGTCTTCTATATTTGACTTGTACAGAATGAGAAATGTTGAAAAAAATCTAACATCTTCATTCTTGTAATATTAAGCTTTAGCATTCTAAAGGGACCATATTTCACCAAGAAAGAATATACAAAGAAATAAACCTATCACGTGCAATTGTTAATTGGTCTTTGTATAACTTTGATATATACATATTTAACATTACAAATCAGTTAAACTCTATTTCTGTGTGGCCTTTATACAGTGGATATGTTCACACCTACAATGTTAGAAATATTTAAATTCATTTCTTCAAACATTAATCCATCATTGTACTACACTAGAACATTTTCTGTATCTGCAATGAAGTATACAGATAAGTCATTACAAACAAATAAAGGGATAATTGAGCAAAATTTTGCACAGTACATGCAGTAGTGTGTTCTATATTAAAAGGGAGTATACAAGATTATACGTGCCAAGGGAAGGTCTTTCAGCACTAGGGAAAGGGATGGTGAAGGATAGTACAGGGAATGGGGAGAGTACAGTTTAGTACAAGGTGGGGAAGGAGCTTCAGCACCAGGGAAAGGGATGGTACAGGATACTACAGGGTGGGGAAGGAGCTTCAGCACCAAGGAAAGGGATGGTACAGGATACTACAAGGTGGGGGACGGCACTTCAGCACCAAGGAAAGCGAGAGTACACAGTAGTCTAGGGTGAGGGAAGGCTGGGGAGAGTACAGTATAGTACTGGGTGGGGAGGGTATTTCAGCACTAAGGCCGGGACAGGCATAGTACAGTATAGGGTGGGGAAGGTCCAGTACTTACATTAAACAATACATATAGAATACAACACGGTGTATGCCGTATCGCCCGAGGTACCAGCCCGACCGCGCGTCGGATCGCCCGACGGCCGAAGGCCGGAGGGAGATCCGATCCGCGGGAGGGCTGGGACCGAGGGTGATGCGGAATACACCGTGTTGTATTTTATTTATGTCATACCCATCCAAGAAAACGCGCCTTTCAATGCGAAATGAGCGAAAATTTGGTGTCCCTAAACCCAAAAAATGCGACAACATCAATTCCAACGTCCGAATTTTGTATTCGAATTTCGAAATCGGTGCACGCGGTTAGGCCGAAACGCGTTCGAATCGTTCCACGGAACATTTGGAAGGCCCGGGCCGTACGCGTTAAGAACCCCCGGGCCGTACCGCTAGTTATCACACGGGCCGGAACACCCGTATCGAACGTGATCGCGGCCCAGGTAGGACATAAAAAACAAAACAACTGGTAGCTGAAGTCAGGTATGATTTAGTCCACACTTGGGCTAAATACTTTGACGACGATAACTTGTTTTGTTATTGGAATCAACCATATTTAACATAGATACATTCTTGCTTAAGCTTTTTGACCTGTGAATTTGGTCTTTGTTATCATTTTTGGATAAGAAATCATCCTTAGCAGTGTTAATGAGTACATTTTGATATGACAGCTTTTGATGATTTTCATTCTTTGAGGTTTTGGGTTTGCGTAGAGCCCAGTACTTAATGTTAGTCTGCCATCTGCCCACCTGTTTTGGATTGTTATATAAAGGCATGGGCTGTGTTTTAGCCATTGCAGCTCCCTTTGGTCTGGTATCTTTGCATACATCTCTGTGCATGGCTGCTACAGACATGCCATAGAATCTAACATTTGTGTTCTTGTGTGAGCTTGTCCTGTTTCGTGGCAGTGTTCCATACAGCTTTGCCTTCCTTTCATGTGCAGCTATTATGTGATACTGTGGGCCTTGTGTGATTTGAGGGGCTGTGCCGTGGAATGAATGTTTGTCACCTTGCCTGGTTGGTGAAGGAAGGGCCACCTTAGCTGCAGCAGTGTAAAGTGTTCCTGTATTATCCTGTACTTTGTTAGATGGCAGAGTCACATGTAGTGTCAGAGGGTAGGACAGGGGTCGTATTGTGGAATTTTGGTAGTTGAAGTACTCATCTGGGATCTCCCAGTATTGATGTAGTGACGCTGGCCGTGTGGTCTTGTAGTTGAAGTAGCTGTCCGGAATGTACCAGTAATTGTTAGGACTCTCTGGTGAAGTATTTTGGTAGTTGTAGTACTGGTCAGAAATCTCACTGTATTGCTGCACATTGTCTGCATGTGACATTTGATATGGTTCAGTCACTTCAGTGGCTGTAAGAATAATGACATTTGGTCCACGTATCATCCAGTGTTTCAGGGGGAAGGCAGACTGTAAACCTGCTTGATTTTCCTGTGAACAACAGCGCTGTCTTCTTGTAATGGAACTTACAAGCACTATTATTATCAGAATGACAACAGTTAACATTGAAATCACTCCTACATTTAAGGATATGCCTTTCTTTGGCTGTTCTGTCACACTCGTAACAGGATTTGTTTTGCTGAGGATATTCTCAGTTGTGTTGACCGTGGGCACTTCAGTGGTCAAAAGCTTTGTTTCCTCTGCACAGTGTGCTGTAAGGAGAGTTGAAGACAGTCTCTGTCTGTTGTTCACACACAGTACCATCAGGAGTGCTGGACATGGGTGCAGTGAAGACATGTAGGTGGGTTTTCTCCCAAGTGTTGATAACACATGTCACGTTCTTCATTTCTTCAATACCTCTGTTGTAGTTACTACCTTGCAATTGGCTACTGTTGACATCTGATAGAACAATAGCAACAATTTGGGGTTTGCAAGACTTGTCTACAGCCACAGGAACAATATGCAGAGTCTGAGTTCTTCCCGGCAATGCTACCTTTACGGCGGGGACGTTTTCCCATGCATGTTGGCACAAGTGGGTGATGTTTCCAGCATGTTTGTCTGATTCTGTGTTGTTTACTGATATGAGAATCAATGGCAGGCTATATTTTGTTTGGCTTTTTGTCCTTTGTTGAAGAAAAGTACATTGACTTTTGAGTTCCACACTTGGCTGAGCTGCCTGTGTGTGGTTGTCATGTTGCATTTGGACATGATAAAACTGTGCCATTTCGGGGGATTCAGTGATACAGAAAAGTGCTTCATTAACTCTTACTGCAATGCGCTGGGCAGAAAACAGACGATAGCCCAGTTGCCAGTTCATATCCAACTTATTGAGAGAAAGCAACCTATTCCCACCTAGAGACAGTATTCTTAGTCTGTGTAGCCCCTCTACAGTTTCCCTTAACAAATATGTTAACACATTACTGCTCAAGTCTAGGTCTACCAGCAATGACAGTGAGTTAAATGTATGTTGAGGAATGATTTTGATAGAATTGGATTTCAAGGAAAGTTTTCTTAACCATTTCAGATTGTAAAACCAAGATGGCTGGACACTTTGCAAAGAGTTATTGTCAAGTAACAATGTTACTAGGGAAGTGAGGTTTTGGAAGCATTTTGAATCCATGCTACTTATAAAGTTGTGTGACAATGACAGAAAGTGGAAAGTCATTGTTTGAAACTCATCACCAAACCAACTTCGCTTTACATGGGTCAGGTTGTTGAAGTCAAGTTGTAATGACCGCAATTGAGGGAACCTAGTCCAAAGACCCTGTTCCAAATCTGTGATTCCACATTCAATGAAAGCAAGGTCTCGTACTTCCGACTGCTGAGGTGGTCGTAGTTTCTGAACTGACAGTTTCCCAAATGAGAACCCCCGAATCGCTACACGGTTATTGTTAGGAAGGCATGCTGTGGTTGGCTGTGAGGAGTTCTTTATATCTAGTACTGACTGTCGCTGTAGCTGTGCAGTGCATGATAAACATATGCCCTCAGGGTGGGGTCGATTATATGATGGTCTATTAGGTTCGTGTTGAATACAGGATGACCAGGATTTTGTGTTCTTGCACCCAGGAAAACATGTCGGGTCCAAACTTGCACCAGTCACAATGATGGTGCAAACAACTATCACTACACTTAACATGCTGAATATGAAACTATATATGATATCTAAGTTCTGTAATAATAACGGTCTGTGCCGATGTCTGATGCAGGGTTGTTACCCCCAGTCAGGGCCGGCAGACAACCAGACGGTTGGCGTGCCTGAAAAATGAAATAAATTATCCTTGCAAAGTTGCAATCAAAATGACAAAGCATCAATACTTTGGGCACTTATACACAAGTATCATGACAAATATAGTACACCTTCATATGCATAGCAAAACGACTAGGCTTTTGTTACTTACTAATCATGTTTATACAGTGTACAATGAATTAAAAAGTCTATCAAGTAACAAAATTAGCCTAACCTACCTTTCTCCTATGACCAGAAATCTTACAGCCTCCCTCTTTTGTCAGTTTGTCTGATTCAAGATGTCCTGTTTTTTTTTACCGGTAGCCGTGAGCATGTAGCGGAAGATCGCATGAAGTTTGCCACCGCTGAGTGAACTAGTTGTACATCTCTTGCAGTGTGTACTGCAACCTGTTCAGTTCTCACAATTTATACCTACTAGATCATCTAATTTTATGCATTGTCAGGGTGAGGGTAAAGCAAGAGGGCAAGCAGCACTAAGCCTGTTGAGTTGTTTTCCTACTTGTGGAAACATTAAAGACGTCAAAGGGTTTAAAAGTGTATTTCAAATGCTTCAAGTATCAAATGATGGCGGAATTTGCTAAGAAATGGCATTAAATGTCAATATCCAACAGATGTTTTTCCTCATCCAGAATATCTTTTTGTTTTTCCGACCTGAAATTGCATTGGATGCCTTTAAAGCCATTTTTCATAGATGATACTGTGACTAGTATTAGCTCTTTGTTTTGTTTGAATTTCCCGCCATAAGTCCTTATACGGACGCCCGCGGTGTTCCCAGCATGCAGTTCGACTCCATGGCGTACTTGTCTGCTCCCCCCACCCTTGTGACCAACTGACGACAATTTCTCTGATTTTTGGTGAGTAATTCGCAACAAAACTGCCATTTTCGACACTCTACAGATTGTGTAGTACATGTAGAACCCATTTGTGGTAGTATTAGTGGAATACGAGTCGTGAAAGATGAGAAAAATGACGATTTTGTTGTGGATAAACAAGTCCATTTTTGCTGCCTCAGGACGTCTCGATTGCATGCAAATTTGCATGCACACGCAGTGACTACGTGTGCGCCATTGTCTCCTTTCCCTCCACTATCCTCCCGTCTAACGTCGCAAATATTTCAGGGACCTTCCATCCGTAAATTCCTGGGTTCACTTCGATCCGTTGACAAGGGGCATGTGGGAGGGGGGCATCGTCGTCGGCAGGGTGGGAGGGCGCGGGGGGAGGGCGGGAGATCGGGGAAAAATCGGTGAGGGAGATTTGGTGCATTTTTGCGCTGCAAATGGCGCCGCGTGGCACCACGGCATTCTTACAGGCACTGCGCCCGCCTGTTATAACACACTATCGGATTTCCCAGGCCGGAGTTTGTCGGTACAATGGGCACGGTGGGACAGGGTAGCCGGGAAAGAAGGGCAGCGCTGGCGCCTGCTGAGGGAGGTGGGGAGGGGGGCGAGTTGGGCCGTCGGTGGGGAGGGCAGGGTGTGGAGTAGGGCTGCGGACCGGTACATTGTACCGGTCCAATACCGTAAAAATCGTTTCGGTACAGGTCCAAAATACCGGATCATGAAGTAACGAGTATATACCGAAATAGCTAGTTTACACCATGTATATGACTAAAGATAGTTAAATCCTACCACAAAGACGAAAAATTAGCACTGGAAAAGACGTAAACACCGTCGATTGATTTGAGATCCTCAGTCTCACGAGACATCGCGAGAGTGTGGCTGATCCAGGGTTGTGATAAAGATACTGACAAGTTGTCAACACTTTATTATTGTTTCTGTGTCATGATTGAAAAAGTGAAGAACACGTGTTAATTTGCCAAATTGTTCAGGTACAGGTACAGGTCCGGACCTGTACCTAAACCTCTGTACCGGTACCTGTACCTGTACCTGATGTTACGTTTAGGTACGCAGCCCTAGTGTGGAGTGACACACATACAGGGACACAACATAGCAACGTCGCGTGTGCGTCATAGACGCGTCAGGCGGCAGTATAATTATGCATAATCTTTAGTTTAGTGTAGATTTCTAGCTTCTTTGATGATTTTGGGTTTAGATGCTAGTTTTTAGATGTTCAATTTGCAATAAACTTATCATTTCTTTTGGAAATTTAGGTCATCAAAGGCAATTCAAATATGGGCATACCCAATTAAAGGAAGCTCCTTAAGGAAATTATTAAAGTCATTGCGTTTTTTTAGTCAAAATAGTCAAAGAAGACACTTGATACTCAAGAAATGATCTGTCCAGGGAGTAAAAAGAAATGATATTCAAAACATGATATTCTTCATGATTTCTTCCTCTTCACCTACTACTACTGTCGTACTGAGTACTGCCAAGCCCCACAACTGGGGTTATTGGCAATATTGGGTCTTCTTGGCACAGATTGTGCCAGAAAATTATCACTGATATCAGTTAGTAAAAGAAATTACTTTTGCCTCATGGAATAGAGATGTTTGTGTTAAAAAGTGTGTGGATGAAAAATTTTTCATAAAGATACCCAGATTTGATTTGGGTACACAAAAGAATTCTGAGCAACTTGATGAAGATGTGAGGCGTACAGTCCTTATCCATCCATGTCATCCAGATTTGCTAGTAACAGCCTTAAAAATATATGTGTGAAGCTATATAAAACATTGTTCACTTTTCAAAATTTTGTCACTATGAAAGCATGAAATAGTGTGTGTAACTGTGTATCACCAGATGAAATGTCTTCCTGACATATATTTACAATTACATGGCTATAGATATTTTTTTTCACTACTGTGACCTAAATTCTTGCAACTAAATCTGATTAGTCTCCACCGAAGATTAGATGGACAGTTTATTAAGTTTTGTCCACAAACCCAGCATTAAGTCTGGTATTAACTGGGTTCCTACATCAAACATTGCAATATTTCATTGTCTGTCTGGCAGATTGACATCGATCCTATAAGTATAACAGAGATTTAACTGTTTTTGTTTTCATGAGATCTTGATGCTTGTGTACCACAAACAATTCTCCGGTGCTTTTTCACTGTGCAACTGTGCTTTTTCCATTTTCCTAGTTTCATGGATACAATTTACAGAGACTTACTCAAACTACATGTAGTTACATACACCTGTACTACAACTTATAAAGCTGATATATTATGTTATCATTGTTGACTGAGGAAAGTCAAGGCATCAATTGCTAAGAGCAGGGGTGGCAGCTTATATGACCCATTTTATATGGACAATTTATCTTTATATGGCCCACTGCACCAAAATAAGGTAAAAATGTCACTGGAGATGTTGTTACTGCATGCTTTTATATGCATGTTCTTTAACATGCTAACTGCTCAGAAAATAAATCTTTTAGGAAAAAAGTATTTTCTTTACTGTTGTTTGTTCTTGTCGTTTATGCAAAAGGCAGATCATATAGACCCAGATTTCAGTCATGAACATTTTTACCATGTTGTATCTTGGTAACTAAGTAGCTTGTGCTGTGTTTTCCTCTTAAAGCGATATTATGTTAGATCATTGCGCCAAAACTTTTAATATTTGATGATCAGATTGAAATTTTCTCAACTTTCAACATATTAGTGTGGTTATTTCGCTGTCAAGCCATGTACCACATGTAAATGGTCCCATGATTTGAAGGTCTGACTTTCCTGTTTGTGGGCAGGTGTGTGGAGACGAGCGGTGAGGCGACGTCAGCATGGCGGAGGCCAGCGAGGAGTCTATCGTTCTGAAGATCAAGCAGGCGCTACTGACCAAGAACCGCTCCGGTGAGGGCTCGGAGATGCCGGTGGAGCAGCCGGGAACGCGGGAAATCCTGGTACAGCATGGGAACGGTTCAGCTCATGTAAGCATACTTTTAGTTTTGTCTTCTTTCAATTTTTTCTGAAAAGTTGTGCTCAGTTGTTTGTAAGCAGAATATGGGAACGGTTCAGCACATATAGGGACACTTTTAGCTTTTTGTCTTCTTCGTTCGATTTTTTTCAGAAAAGTTGTGCTCAGTTGTATGGAAAGATGTGCTGGCATTGCCTTGGAAAGTAAACAGATAGTCAAATTTCAATCCATAGGTAGACAGTAGTCAACTACTTTTCTTGTATTGATCTGTTTGTTACCAATTTTCCATTCCATTTCATGTCATCTGTCAATGTATTCATGGTTAAGAAATGACATAATCATTTTAATGTGTCGTCCGATCTTTTGATTATTCTGTTCTAGCTCATGCTTTGATTTGGTTTGATTTGTTTTAATTCTGAATAACTGACGGAGGGAACCCTTTTGTATAAAGGGTGACGCATCCATATTTCAGGTGCAAACAGTGGAGGTACCTGAACCTGTACAGACAGAGACTGTCATCGACCCAACCGACCAGTTATACGAGACAAAGGAAGAACAAATTCAGGTATCCAAGTGTGGTAATACTAGTACTAACTTATTGTAAGATGATTTTTTGTGGTTTAGATTTAAAGAGTTTAGACTGGTTATGACTGGTGTTGCCTGCTTTTTTATACTTGTCAACATTTCTAGTTAGTCATGTCTTGAATTTGGTACCAAGAGTATATAATGAGCTGTGCATGATAGAAGGCGAAAGTCTATTATGTTTTTACAATTGTCAGAATTCCAGCTTGTAACGTATTGATAAACAGAGATATGTTCCACATAACTAGGAAACTGTAAATAGTTCAGATGATGTTTGTTTACGTATAAACGAAAACATCCCTACAATACGATTGATAAGATGATCACAAAGACAAAGAAAATTTCTATGTACCTTGAAGTGGAAATTTGTATTATGTATGATCATAAGGTATATGTAACACAGAACTGTACAAGACACTGACTAGAAAAACTGAACTAATGTACTAACCAGGTCTTGCCTCTCTGTCACCATAATCATTGTACCATGAGGTCTGTTGTGGTACACATTGCATCCTGCCTGCTTTACCCTTGTCAGCACGAAGCTTGTAGTTAGAAGGCAGAGTAGTTGTTTACAAATCCTGCTTGTGCAGATGTTTGCAGATGCAGTTGTAACCGGAAGAGTGTTTGTTACGGCTGTGTACACGTACACCATACTTGTAAATTGTTCAGGTACAGGTGCAGACAAAGTTTCTTGTGTGTTGGAACCAGAACAAATTATAACCCTATTAAGACACCAGTTTTTAAAAATGTAAACAGTACCTGTACCTGTGCTGTAGTTTGTAGCCTGTGTCTGTTTTTTGCATGTTGCTGCGTTGTCTGCATGCCTGCTATAACACCCCTCTCACCCACCCTGCACTGTAGGATGTCGAAATTTCCTTGCAGCCCGAAGACATCCCGCAAAACGAGGAGGTTGTGGTGTCCCAGGAGGATGAAGAAGACGACTACCTGAGCGTCCCGTTACACGACGGGCGGTCGCCGCGTGCTCGGCGCCACAGCTCCAGCTCAAGTGAAGATAGTAGTGATAGTAGAAGTGAGTCTGAGTCTGAATCCGCAGGTCAGAGTCGGCATCATATTTTCTGTTCAACTCTTGGTTTTTGGTTTTCCTGTCTTCATCTTTGTTGCTGGGTGCTTTTGCTTTCCCTTCTGTTAATTTCTAGAAAATATTTACAGATTTACAAAGGAAAATTTTGTGAACTAACACTAGAAAACTTACATGATTTGTAAAATTACTCTGAAATTTGAAGTGGTCTTTGCTCTACATTATGTTCCTCTTGGCTGAAGGAGGTTTAAAGTTTAAACCAAATTCTAGTGATATACTAACTTATTATGATTTGATTTTTTATTTCAACATTGTTTAAGACAAGTACAACACATAGTGGTGACACACTCTTCCAGTGTTCACCCAAGTGTTGTTACTTATATTGATATCATCCCTGGAAGGGAACAAATTAATAAAAGTATACATAAGATTTCTTAAACTTTGCTCTTTCATGATCCCTCTTTGGATGATGGAACAGAGACCATGTATTGTATCATTCATTCCAAACCCATATGTCTAAAGTAAAATTGTTTCTTCATTTCTGCGCTCTTGTGGAAAGTATGTAGACCGCAGATATGGGCAAAGGTGTATTGACTCAACTTGAACATTGTTTTATTTTCCTGGCCAACAGAAGACATGGTGATTGACCAACAGTCAGCACCGAGCACGTCCAAGCCTCGCAAGAGAAGCATGAGTACTGGCACCGGGGAACGGCCGCACAGGTGCAACAGGTGTAAGGCTGCCTTCAAGACATCTTACCACCTGAGGAGACACATCTCTACACATACTGGTACGTCTGCTTTCCTTAAGGTGTTTCTTAAGACTTATGGTAGTGATATTCTGCTCTTAGTCTTGATGTAGATTTGGCAAGCAGTTGCCTTCTTAATGCTTAACAAGCAGAAATGTCTTCATTGATTTTCCCCATATGAATAAATGTCTCTGTACCCACTTTCCTGTTTTTTTTTTTTTGTTTTTTTGTGTGTGTGTGTATTTGCCTTTGGAAATCCTTGAGGAGAATTTATAGCTCAGAGAATACTGCAAAGCTTGTCTGTGGTCTATGGAAGAAAGGCATTGATGGTTGCGTATTTCCAACTTTCCCTAGGTGAATATGCGTACCATTGTCTGGAATGCAGCAAAGGTTTCCGGACCAAGTACCATCTAGACCGTCACCAGATAGTGCACAACAAAACCTGTAAGAGCATCCCTTAAAGGCTAAGTGGCATGGATAACATGGGAACAGAATAAAGCACTTCTTTTTCTCAATTACTGAAATTTGATGTGGATTTGAAGAAATGTTTGCAAGCAGTGCATTTTGCTGTTCCCGTGTTATTCATGCTGAAGATTTGGTCTTATTGGATGGTGAAAAACTAGAGTACCTGGGGAAAAAGGCGGCGTCTTTTCCCCCCTGAAGAAGGGTAGGTCTCTTATCCTGGACCGTGGCTTCAGGGCTCAAACTTTGAAACCAAAAGTGTGACAAGTTCTAACTGCTTTGGGTTTTACCCCTGCTGGACTTGTGTCTAGTGAGGAAAAGTTTTTTCTGCAAGACCTTTGATGGACGTGTTTGAGTCCAGACCAAATTTTGAGCCCTGTAGTTTTCAGGGCAGGAAAATTTCCTCTCTCTGTTTTGCCTTTCCATTCTTGCTGACTGTTGATCTGTAGATGCTATAAGTGATTGAATAGTGGAGAAAGTTTTTTTTGATTTTGATAATGGTTGAAGGATGGGGAAGTCAGAGCCCTGGCCTGTGGTTCATGCATGAGGATATTATCATGTCCACCAAGTTGGGACATTTTTGCCAGGTACTCTGTATTTTCCCCTCATTTAAGACCACATCTGTTTCACAGTGCCCAAACACGGCACTGTAAAAGAAAAGATACTAATTCTAGAAAAAGATCTGAAGTTTTTCTGTATTTCTTCAGGTGAGAAACCGTTCCAGTGTGAAGACTGTAACAAGTGTTTCATCCAGAAGTACCACCTGAACCGGCACCTGCGCGTACACAGCGGGGACAAACCGTACCAGTGTAGCGACTGCGGGGCCTCGTTCGCTCGCTCGGACCGACTGCTGCGTCACAAGCGACAGAAGCACCCGGGGAGCGAGCTGACGCTGAGCGAGCGACCCTTCATGAAACACAGCTCCAAGAAGTTCAAGTGTAATTACTGCAAGTTCTCATCTGTACACAAGAAGGTAAATTTTCAGTCTTCTTAAGTCATAGTTGGATTTGAAGCAGCTGCATTATGAAACATTTATATACATAAGTGTATGCATATATACATGACAACAACTCTATCAGTTTGGGGATGGAGAGGACTGATAGAAATTGTTCAATGTCCCTCCAGGATGTGGAAAAACACCAAAAGACTCATGAGAGAAGGAAAGGAAAGAAGGGACCCAAGTTGACAGCAGCAGTGAAAGCATCCAAAGGTCAAACCAAGGGAGCAGCCAAACGTAAAAGGAAGCAGCCCAAGCAGATTGGCAGAACTGTAAGTTGCTAAAATGCTGGAAGAATGACCCAAAAACTGCAGCATACACAGTGGTGTTTTTAATTTGATCGGAGCCAGTACTTGTGGAAATAAATGACATAGATACTTAATAGTGCAATGCTGCTATTGCAGTAAGACAACAAGTCCCATTAATCTGTGTCCCTAGATAAGTTTTCAGCAAGTTGATTACAGTATGATTTAGGATTAGCACATCAAAGTGTGAGATTTAGGTACTAATCCGACTGAGAGGAAAGTTGTTGGATCTTAGGATTCTGTTGTTTTGTGTGTGGTTTATTTGTCTGGCCTATATTTGTATGGAGGACCCAGATATTTGAACACCCCACCTCCCCCAAAACCCTTTGTAGAATACATGTAGCTATAGTTTGATGGGTGGTTGTCTTAGTAGAAACTTTTTGACATCTCTGTTCCCCAACTTCTGAAATACTAGATTAAGCTTTAGTTATGCTTGGCTGGTGTTAACTGAGATTTGTCTTACAGACTGGGGACGACAGTGATTCAGATTCTGATGGAGACACCAAGGCAAAGAGGGGCAAGGGGGTAGACGACTCGCCGCGATTCTCTCCACTCAAGATCAAAATTACCACCACCAAGAAGGGCACCAAGAAGGTCACCAGTAGTAGAGGAAGGGCGGCGGGAAAAACATCCACGAGGGGGCAGAAGAGGAGACGTGGAGGCGGTCGGGGAAGGGGCGGCGGCAGGGACAGTTCCGACGCCAACGTGTACTCCAAAAAGAGGAGGTACCTGAAGGCCGTGGAAGGGAACATGGCGGGCGTTAGTCTGGAGACAGGGAACCTGGAGTCGGACGGTAAAGGGGAGATCATTGAGACAATAGAATGTGTGGAAATCAGTCAGGAAACGTTAATCCCCTCCTCAGAACCCACCAGGCCGGTCGCCACCATCCCAGACTTAGGAAACCCGGGGTTCAGTCATTCCATGGGGACGGGCAAGCCGGCCGCCCAGGGAATGCCGTCGCTGCTCCAGCCGTTCGCTGCCGCCATGACGACTGCGGGGAAGGGGCAGTTTGTGAGCGTGCAGCCGCCGACGGGACAGAAGGCGCAGCTGCACATACAGGGGGACGTGGCGGAGATCATGTCAGCTCCCGCCGGCGAGGTCACCTCACAAATCACCATCACCACGCTTCACCAGGGATTCCCACAACAACAACATCAACAACAACAACAACAGGACTTTCACTTTACTAATGCTGGCCAGGGTCAGGTCACAGGGCAAGGGTCAAGCAGGACTTTCCCTTCCACACAGCCTGACTTTCAGCAGGGCCCTCCTCCTAGCTACAGCTATGCAGTCAGCCAAAGTTCCAACCAAGTGGAGGTGCCTCAGCAGCATATAGTTAAACAGGAGGTGGTGTATCCGGTACAGAACCCACCACCCCTCCAGCAGCCCAAAATGGACACTTCCACCACGGTAGGGGAACAGATCCAATTCACCACCACTATGGAATATACCAATGAGCAGACTCAGGGGGGGTTGAACAGCAGACAACCGCAGGTCAGCCTCCAACCCAATCAGGTCACGACGAGTCAGCAGCCCCAGCAGCAATACACCACCACGACCATCTCTCCGCAGCGCGTGCGCGTGGAGAGGATGCCCACCACCAGTCCCGTGTACGGAAACCGCTTCTCGGGGGTGGAAATTTCCCCGTCGCGGCCTCCTCCCAACAGCAATGCACAACAACGCCTACAGTTTGAGTCATTCCAAGGGTCGCTGAACAATACCGCAATGCCCCAGCAAATCTTACAGAGCGAAGCCACGTCCCCCACAGAGACAAATTTCCCTCAGTATTCAGTTCAAACAGACTCTAATCAGTTCCAATCTTGATCCTGTGCTGTAGATCATCGTCATAATTATAACTTAGTGGCACATGTGGTTTCAGGGTGTGAATGAAAATGACCTGTACAAAATTTGAATGTTTCTGTTTGTATCTGATCATGATGTAGGGTTGCAAACCAAAGGGAAAGGGGAAAACCAGAACAACCACTGCTTAATTCGTATTTTCATCAAGGAACTAATACAATGGTCATTGTTATACTTAACCCACAATATTCCCTATGCTTGTATAAACCTGGTAGCAGAAAGTGTTCCTCACGATTCAATACTTGTTACAGTGATGCATATCGTTTCATAATGTTTGCTATCCATAACAGGTCTGTTCTGATTCAAACAGACTTCCCAGAGTTGTAGTAGCTATTCCTGCTTTTGTAAATATTATTGTATACTTAATTGGATTTTTTTCGTTTTGCGAGGAATGGTCTTCAGTAGTATACCTAGCATCTTGTTGTGTTGAATTATATGTAAGTTATGGAAATAGAGGACTGTCCCCTCTGAGGCTGTAGAAGTGTTCTGACAGGCTGTTTCCACAGTGTTCCTGCTTCCTCAATGTTTGTATAGATGCAAAGACTCTGACTGACACAATGTTTGTGCTAACATCCTCTTGTATACTAAAAAAGCCTGGTCCCTCCTCAACTAAATGTAGAATCGTTCTGTATCACACTTCTTCATTATCTTGATTTGAAGGGTAGTACAAAGTATTTTTAAACATTTTCCATTATCCATTGAGTGCTTCTTTCGGTGTTCCAAAACTTTGCCAGAAGTCAGCTTTGGAAGTTTGATCTGGAATTGAATTGGGCCCTCATGTTGGTACAAGTTTGTACTCACTGGCATATCGATAAGAACACACAGGGCAATTTCAATGACAGCATTGTCATTGAAATCAATGATTCTCAACAACATGACCAGTTTTGGCCCAGATATTACCTTTCAAAGTGTGTCCTACTTTTCCTGTGGATGTGTGAGCACAGTAGGTACTTACAACCATTGAAACTGTACACTGAACTGTTTACAGAGGTATAAAGGGGTTGTATTTGTTTGCAGTCACATCCAATCAAGTATGGAAGAGGAACTAATCGTGATAGTTTTTATTTTTTGAGAGTAACCTACAGATTGTGGAGTTGTGAATTGTCTATGTGATCCCGGTGTTAACTTGAACCCAAGGTTTTTGATTGAAAATTATACCACAGAGTTGTAAGGACTATATGGAGTTGTTCTTTTTGTACAGAAAGTTGCCTTATGATGGATATGTATATGTATCCACTGCTCCAACTTCCTTTAACTTTTCTACCACACTAAAATTTTTCCTTTTTTAAAATCTCTGCTTGTACATGTTATGTAAGCCAGTAATTTATTTAGGAATCAAAAGGGAAATAATTTTTTATTCTTTCCCCCAAATTGTACTGTGATACCATGGTATGCACCTCTAACTGGCTTTAAGAGGAAAAAGTTTAAAATGTCCTGCATCTTGGAGTTGTGTTTTGTTAGTTGTACAAGCTGTGTCAAGAAGTATCCTTTATTTATTCTCAATTTGAGCATGTTTCATACTGGAAGTTTCACACACCTCAACAATAATCCACACTTAGTCAAATGCAAATGCTGTCATGACAAAGCTCTTCAGGAGTACAGTAATTGTTTTACATTTGATTCAAAATAGAAACGAACTTGTGGCACAGACTTGTTAAAACGATTGTACACCTTCCGTATGTTTGCATCAGCACACTTATTGTACATACACTGTTACAGGCTTGCAGTGGCAGGGTTTGAATGTGTCGAATTTTCGTGTAATTTTAATGGAGGGGGAAGAAATAACCACAATGGAAACGCCGATCTGTTCAATCATAGAGTGTAGATGGACCAAAATGTACATTTCTCAATACAGACGGGAATTAAAATACAACACAACTTGTTTGAATGATTTTTTTTTTTCAAAATTATCTTTGCCCAAATGAGTTATTGCTGTGACTTGACCTACTTGGTTTGGATGGGGAAATCAGACATATTTGAACTGGGTTTGTAGAATGTGGGTTTTATGAAACATACACACAAAATTGATAGACATAAATTCTTGTTTTAGAAATAATAACTTTATTGCAATATACTAGGTATATATATATAATGTATGGTATCTACTGTTATCTAACAAACATACAAAACAGTAGTATGGGATGAAAGTATGCTTTTATATAAAATCCATCAAAAAAGACATATTTTCCTAACTATTTCTCGAACTAATTCTCTGACCTTGTTATACAAGAGTTTGTTGAAAGGCACACAAGACATCACTAAAAAAATGTACAACTATTTTTTACATTCCTTTCCACTTGCCACTAGATGGATACCTTTGTTATCAATAATCTTCACTGCGTCTTCACTCGGGTCCAGGACAGTGTTGACCATGGCTTTGCCAATAGTTTCAGCAGGAACAGACATCAGTGTGGGTTTGAAGTAGATGATGGGAGTCAACAGCGCAACTAAGACCCTGGAATTCCTCCTGTTCTGCTGGGCTAGGATCAGTCTGATGGGAAAGTAACAAGATTTTTTTTATCTTTGTTTCATCAAAAAATGAAATGTTTTCTATTATCTCAAACATTGGATCAACAATACACGTGTCAGTGAATAATTTCAGCAGGTTGGTAAATGATTGAATAGCAAAGTTCTTTATTCACAAGGACTGATGTTTCGTGACCTTTTTTGTTCTGTCAATGTTTTGATGGACAGTCATCGAAACTTAGGTTCAAGTGGTTGTGAACAAAGTATGTTAGAAGAAGAATGTTTGACAAAGTAAAAAATGTTAATGTTACAACACAAGCAAAAACAAAATATTTCATTACCCTGGTCGGAATATAGACAACTTCTGAAAGCTCATGTCTGTGCACTCAGCTTCCACCTCACCCTGGAAAGGAGAATGTTACAGAAAAAGTGGATCTTTTGTCTCAGAAAACCATTTCAGAAAAGGAAGTCAAACACAAGAACTTGTCTTTTTCCATGATTTGGACAAGAATTTGCAATAAACGTCTTTATTATGTAACTTGTATAAATAACAGAAAAATGACTGGAAAATGAGCCATGGAGCTATAGCATGATAGAAGTTAACTACTGTCATACCTTCAGTCTCTTGTGGACCATCATGGAGTCCTTGTCTGCATCAATGGCAGATGTAAGTACAAAATGGCTGCAGCCTCCAGCTTTAGCCAGCTCTGCTACTTTCACGATGTAGTCATGGTTCGTTTTTTGGTATTCCTCCTGACCAAAAAACAAATAACACATTATAATATGTTTCTGGCCATGAGCATACTAGTAGTTTCTGCAGTTAAAACATGAAGGTTTATACAATCATGCTTAGGTAGCCTTATGGTAGTCTCCTCCAGACTTCTTTTGCGGGGTGAATAAATCGTAGAAATCGGCCTAAAAAGGGTATTAATTGGCCAGAGAAGGTAGCCGGCCAGAGAAGCTCCATTGCCCCGCCAAGAAGTCTGTCA